TTAGAGTCCACCTCATAGAGTCTGGTCCAAATGGGTCAAAATACAAAAGTGTCAACCTTCTGATAAATATCTTCATTTCTGCACTCAATACTTTGTTGGTGCCAGTTTTAGAACAAATTACTGCATGAGTGCGGTGGTACAGAGGTAATAAGCCTGTTTCATTTTTGCATGAAAGGAGTTTGTGCCTAATTTCTTACAATAGGATCAACAGGAATGATAACAGCCACCAATACCTGTTTTATTGTACAAGTCATGTCTGAGCATTTTATTGAGATAGACTAGAAAGAAAAAATACCCCTATAAATTAGGCTTGTGCCAAGAGACGATGTCTGAACGACATTGTGACGTTGAGCCGGCGCCGTGATTGTAATCTTAGTCTTAATTTTTCACATTATACTGCCCTGTGAAAGCAGGTTTTACTTTTAAATATACCTGCTTTGCACCTGCCTCGGACTTCTCCTGCTTTCTCCATCAGCAGTGTGTTTGATAAAGTTACCTAAGCGAAACAGAACTCCACGATACGTTATCAGGGCAGCAGGTGAGCTGCGTGCCGGCTTGTTAATCACATAACCTTTCAAACAACCGAAACCAACATCTGCGCCCCGTGTGTTCACTGCTGCTTTACCTGCTCTTGCTTGTAAAATATCCACGTCTGTCAGAGAGGCATTAAAGTTGGTTTGCCATAGTACATTTCAATGATATCGACATTGTGTGCAAGTATACTGAGGATTTACATTGCGGGTCTTGAAGAAATCAGTCATCCTCTCGCACGAAGGGCCAGAATGCCTCTCATGTACATCATGTTGTTTCTAGATTGATAATGAAAATAATTATCATTATACAAATGTTGTTATAGTGTAACAGTTAAACCAATGTAATTCTAAAAGAATAATAACACTAGTATTAGCAACAACAGCAATAACAATAATAAATCCATCCAGCTGCAACTACCTATAAGACAAGACTTACACCATGACAAAGATATTTGGAAGCCAGTGCAGCAGGGCTGGACCCCAGTATTCTAGTTATTCACTCTGTAGGTGTCGGTGATTTTGATATTTGCACACACACACACACACACGCACACACACACACCACCTCTTTGTTTTTCTCTCACTGTATCACACAGATTCCATGTGAACAACTTTTGGATGGATCAGCGTGTGTCCTGCACTACATCTCTCTGTCTGTTCCTCTGCACCTGTCCGTAGACCCTACAGGGATCAATCATCGATGGCATCGGTCGCTTGGACAAGTAAAAAGTATTATGTGTTCAGTGCAGCCAAAGAATAGCCATTTAAAATAGGCTAAGCAAAAGAATGACACATTTAATAAGTAAGTTCAAATGATGCCCGTATGTTCCTTTAAATACCTTAACTCAAGTCTTTCAAATCTATGCAGTATAAAAAGCATCAGGTCTACATAATCTTGAATAATTCAAACGAAATATACTAACTCTGATGCAGAGATGTGCAAATTGAAAACACCTTGGACAGCTGTGGTGTCACTCAATACTTAATCCTGCAGGAGCAGATAAAACACAAAGAATTCCCATAAGTCCAGTTAAGATCATCATCAATTGCTGATTTTTTAAAATACTATATTTTATCATTTCACTTACTCACCGGTACAAGAGCTGCTTTTGCAAGTCAGGTGATTATGGACATGATGAAATCCCTTCAGCAGCACTCTCTATAGTCCTTAATGGACGAACAATATATGAACACCAACTTTTTATTAGTTTACACAATAATGGCAATAACGTAAACACTTGTCACAAACATGTGATACTGGAATAGTTTAATGTGAGAAATGTATTTAGTCTCTAAGAGTAAGTTACCAGTTTATCAGTTACATCTAGCTAAAAAGTACTGCAGTAATACAACATTCCTGCCATAAATCCTCCATGAAAATGATCATGTTCAGTTTTGGATGACAGGTGCTTCTGTTATTTTGTTCATCCCATTAATATCTGAGACGCTAAATAACACTCAGTCTTTTGTGTAATAACGCAACTCATGTCAACGTAACGTTACCACAAACATCAAAATGAACAAATGATAAAACAGTTTCAATACAAACTGAGCATTCTTCACTAGTTAAAAGGTTTCACTACCACAGTGGAAAAATACTCCTTTACAAATATTAACGTTACAGACACTTCAGACGAGGCAACTAGTCTCTGCAATAAAAGGGCTGCGGAGAATCATTAGGTTTACAGCTAGTAAAACTAAACTTTTAAACCATGCATCAACAATATTTATATTATATTATATATATATAATATAACGCAGAGGTTGACTGTCTCCACAATATAACGTAAACTAACGTGAGTTAACTGACAGTGACAGCAGTTCACAATAGTGCAAAGTTAACGTGAGCTAGCTTACTTCTAGCGTTAGCCTTACTGTAAACGTACCTGCGCCTGACAACAGAGCCAAAATGTGACAAACGTTTTTACTCAGACTAAAGTGCATTCTCTGTCAGGCGAAGGCTTCAGTCACAACGTTACGTTACTTTCACGCTAACGTCCGTTAACGTTAGCGTGAAAGTAACGCGCCAAACTGCCTCTACATGCTGAAGCGGTCCTCCGAGAGCTCACACGGCGGTAAAATAGAAGTTAATGAACACAAAAAACATTTCTTTCACAGCGCTGCGAATAAATCTTGGTTCTCTCGACTTTTGTTACATAGGTTATTGACAGTTTTGCTCCGTTACTTTCAAATTCTTCTCGCTCGCATCGGGTAGCCATCTTGAATTTTCGTGGCGTCAGACGTCAGCGTGTGTCTCTGTACTCGAAGCACAAACAACCCACATGCTGGGTCAAACGATGAACGTGGCGTTGATGGATTTTGACTCAATGCATGAGTTGCACAAAATAACCCAAATTCCATATAAATGCCCATAATGGGTAAAATGTTTCATAACCCAGCGGTTGGGTAGATGAAATAACGCAGCTGTTTTCAGGGTGAACACACTGCGCAGGTGTGGAATTGGCAGCTGAGCATAAATGAACATCCTTGTTGATACTTCACACACGTCACCTTAGATCTTTTCCATTTCACGCGGCCGTCTCTGATTCGTCAACTTCTCTCGTTGTAGTCAAAATAACAAAAAAGCAACCTACACAAGCAGTGCAGAGTAGAGCGTGATTCTGTTTCTCCGTTTCCAACATGAGATCTCATTAACTTATTCTTCCATCCAGCGGATGACCAATGGCTAAAGACACACCTTGTAAATTTAATTACCACATGTAACTAGTATTTTAGCACTAAGTACATATCATGAACAATTTGTATTTAACATTGGCACATTAATTATTTATCATCACATTTATATGTAACATTTATATTTTCTTTAACGGCTTTTAAGGTAAAACACATCTTAATATTAGCATTAGCGCGTAGCTAGCAATCTTTAAAGAGCATAAATCCAAAGGTACAATATGCACCAAAGTACACTGAACATCAGACAAACAGGTTTTTCTGTTTAGTAACTTATCTGAACCTTAGAGTGTGTTTTTCTGCTCACTTAGCAACATGCTAGCAACATCAACAACTGTCCATCTGACTGATGTCTGCAGGCAGAGTAGGCCTAGACTGGTCCACCAATAGGAGAGAAGTTCACCACTTGAGACCCCGCCCCTCCTCATTTGCATAATGAGGCAGAAACGCATGTATGTAAAAAGAAGAAATGTAAAAAGAACAGGCAGAAATAAAAACCATTGGGGAAATAAATAGGTAGAAAATCCAACGGAAGAATAAAACAGACAAAAATATTTAAACACACACATAAATAAATACATTTGAAAAAGAAGTAATTAATAAATAATGTTGAAGAGTATAACAGACAATAAATAAATAAGGTAATTATTACAAAGGTGAATAAATAAAGAAGCTAATTAAAATAGATGTATACGTTTATGTCTCCTTGTATAATTTAATTGTTTAATTTAAACGTTTGGCTAGATGCTTATATATAAAATGATAAACGCTTTGCATCCTCTACTCCCCTCCCCGCTCGATAGGCGGCTGTTAGGTCAAGTCTTCCCTCTACAGATGATAGCACCAGGTTTTTAATAATTTTCTCGAATACCTTCATAATTAGTGATGTTAAAGCAACAGGCCTGAAATCATTCAGTGGCCCTGGTTTGATGATCTTAGGAACCAGGATCACGTTAGAGGATTTCCAGATCGTTGGAATAACACTACTCTCTGTGGGAGGACACAACAGCAGTATCCACCCACAGACGAGCTCAGGTCCAGGGTCCTTCCTGGTATTGACCTTATTTAGATGGTTCTTAAAACACTCCCGACTGATGGTGACCTCATTTTGAGATGATTTAAAAGTACAGTGCTACAGTATCTCCTCTTCCCTGAGTAACTGAGGACATTGCTTTGAATTCACTCCAATCTGCACAAAGTACTACTGTACCTGTTCCACCTTATCCTTATACATGATTTTATCTTTCCTTATCCCGTTCCTTACTTCTCTGTTGATTTATTTCTCTTCCTGGCTACTCCTTGTATGGAAAATGTGTTTCTTTTTATTCAGAGCACTTTTTCAGAGCACAGTTCTTCTTAAACACTCAGGTACACGTTGAGTATGGGGAAGTTTTAAGGGAAGGTTTAATCTGCACTGCACTCACTCTTTAATGGACGTTACAACAGCTTTATAAAATTATTTCTTATAATATATAAATTTGGGTTTATGTTTTATGTTTTGAGAGAAAGAATCTCGTTGTATTACAAGTAAGAAGAATTCACACAAAAATGTGTGCATGCAGAAATGTACCATCTGGAACCGGACCGGACCCGTCTATTATTTGACAACTGGGATCCGGACGCGATCAGAATCAAGTTCTCAGCTGATTATTATGAACAAGCTACCATTAAGCTGTCACACCTGTCAAGTTCACTGGCCGTGACCTCTCTCGGAGAGGTGGTGAAATCCGTCCAGGTGTTCCTCGTTCTGACTGTAGGTGACCAACCACACACAGCACACCTGTAGAGCTTTTATTTTAATAAAACAATAACCCAGGATTACACAGCCAGAGATCAATACGTGCTTACACCTGGATCCTGCAGTGTGATGTCACACATCAGACTCCGCCCCCAGGTGACCTGTTGTAAACTTCAGTTTAAAAAGCCCTTATCAGTATATGTTAGGCGTGGAGGCTGCTCGGGCGCTGTGATTGGCTGAGCCTGCCGTCTGCGGGCGTGGCCTCTGCAGCCTCTCCTCTTCCCTCTTCACTCGTTATATTTTCAGAAAAAGTCCAAATCTTTTTTAGAAAAAGAGACAAAGTGGAGAGAATCGATCGGGATCAATAGTTTTCACAAAACCAACATTAGAAACCGTCATGCCTGTTAAATACACCAATCGATCATCAATACACCAGTTTAAAAATCACATGTCCACATATTCAGTTACTATGGTAACCAGCACAGTCGATGATGTCAGAAATCGATAAAAGATCTGAAACAGCAGGAGGCGGGGTCAGGCCGCCTCACAGGTTGTCATGGTTACTGACCTGTGGGAGGGACTTAGACTGACCTCTGACCTGCGCAGAAATAAACACAAACCTTAACATTAAAAATGGCGTTCTGACTGTAGCCCCGCCCCTTGGTGGCTGGCAGCCAATGGAACAAGAGGGGAAGGGTTTCCATTGATGCTACGCTACGCTACAATTCATTGTTCCAGTGCAACAGCTCAGCTAACTAATAACTTACTATGGGATAGAGTGAACCAGCTCAGCTAACAGGCTAACAACTAGCCTAGCGTGGTTTACTAGACACAGTGCACTAAAGGCTAACGAAGCCCAGCTAACGGCTAACGAAGCCCAGCTAACGGCTAACGAAGCCCAGCTAACGACTAACGAAGCCCAGCTAACGACTAACGAGCAGCTGATTGGTTCAGATTGTCGTGGAAAGACTTTGATCCCTGATAAAACTTGATATGTTGATTCAATAGAAGCTGAATTCAGATCAGTTCAGAGAATCTATCTCTTTAAAATACTTTAAAAGAGTTCATTAAGACTCGAGTCTGTCACCAGCTGCGACTTCAATAATCTACTGAGAAATATAAACCAACTGTAATACAATAGTGTTGTTTTCAAAATGAAGCCATAACTCTTACTAATAAAAGCAATTTAAGAGAAAAAAGCAGCAATATCTCAAAATAAAGACGTAATTTTACAAAGAAAAGAGGTCAAATATTTTGTTGTAATATCTAAAAATAAAGGTGCCATATAAATAAAAGCATAATACTTTGAGAGAAAACGATCAATAACTGATATATATTAAATTATCTGGACTGGATATCATGATATTACTGTTTGTTTGAACTGCAGACTATTGGCTGTTCTGGAGTCCGTCTGAACCTGTTAAACATGATTGGTTCGTTTGTTCTTGATCACCATGACTCCGCCCACAGCTGGTGAGCTCTGCCTTCCTATTGGTCAGAACTCCTGATTGTCATTATCAAAGTATTGATCAGTTATGTGAGGTTTTATTGCTCTCACAGTGACCAGTGTTCACTTTGCTGGTTTTCAATAAAGCTGGCTTTGTTCAAATTCTACCAACAACCGTCAGTTCATAAAGTTACTTCTCAATAAAGTTTGATTCAAATGTTCGCCTCAACAATAAAGTTTGTTTCCTTTAAAAATCTGTCTGTTTTCAGAGCAGCTAGCAAAGCTAACAGGCTAACTGTAGCACCGACTGGAAGACATTTACGACATCATCATCATCATCATTGTCTTTTCCCAGCATGCCTTTGGCTTCCTCAACCTGCCCTCTGACCTGTGACCCTGAGATTCCTGTTGCTATGACAACCATCCCATCAACACGACGTAGTGATGCTACAATCCACAACATTCAGACACTTCCATCCTCATCGTAGTGCAGTGAACACACAGTGTGTGCGTTAGAGTATACAGTATATGTTGTATTTATAGTGTTGTGTTTCTACACTGCTCAATAACCTGAAGGGAACACTCGATGAACGGATCAGTGTACACTGCGTACTTAAACAACAAAATGAAAATTCACCAAGCGACTCAGGGCTGGGTTCAAAATCAAAGTAAAAAACTGAAACCACAGGCTGATCCGAGCTGAAGACTTTCATCATCATCATGTGACTCGGCAGTGTGTTCGGCCTCCCAGTGGCTGGTTCTACTGCCAATAACGTCGTGGTCATGAGACCGTGGATGGTGTCCTGGTGGATCTCCTCCCAGACCTGGATCAGGGCATCAGTAAGTTCCTGGACAGTCTGCGGTGGTACTTGGTGGTGTGGGATGCACCGATACATAACGTGCCAGAGGTTCAGGTCTGGGGAACGTGAGGGCCAGTCAATGGCATTAATGAGGCCAGACACTGTCCTGCACCAGGAGGAACCCAGGACCCACTGCACCAGGGTAGGGTCTGAAAGTGTCTCCCAACAGCAGCACGTTGACCAGGACCTAAGGTCTGAAAGTGTCTCCCAACAGCAGCACGTTGAGGTCTTTGCGACCATCCAAAGGTATGCCTCCCCAGACCATCACCGCCAAAGCGGTCCTGCTGGATGATGTTGCAGGCAGACAGATTGATCTCCTGAGGTTTAACTGACTTGATGTTACTCGGTGATGGTTAAGTGTCCCTTAATGTTTCTGAGCAGTGTACATACTACATGTGTTTATATGTATATATATAAAGTTTGTATCAGTGTTCGTTGGGCATGTGTCTGATGGTGTGGAAGATCCAGTCCATCTTGGTGCTCCAGCCTCCGTGATGAGCGTCGTTCATCTGTTTGGTGAAATACTCCAACGCCTCCTGCTGGCTCTTCTCTGAGAGACAGACAGATGGACAGACAGGTAAAGAACAATGTGAGACATATTCATCATTTTATACATTTGAACACTTTATTCAGTTTTCTCTTGGTGTCTTATTCTTGTATCTGTCAGGAGAAAGGACTCTCAGCCTGTCTGTCTCCCTCAGCCTGTCTGTCTTACCCAGGGCCAGGGTCTTCCTCAGGTAGGCGATGTCGTCGAAGCTCTGCAGTTCGGGCATCCCGCAGCCCAGCAGGAGGGAGAACAGGTTGATGAAGAGGCTGGCGTGCTGCCGGATGGCCAGGTAGGCTTTATAACACATCTCCTGGAACCTGAAGCACAGACAGACAGGTTAACAGAGAGCGAGACAGGCAGGAAGTGGGACAGGAGGGCCGGCATTAGACAGGTGCAGGTGAGACCTCTCAAACTCCTTGGTCTTGGTGGACTCCTGGACTCCTTTACTGATGACGATGAGGAAGTCCTGGGTCAGGACAAAGGGTACTCGCTCCCTCTTGTACCCAAACTTCTTCTTCTTGTGATCCAGGAAGTGGCCAAAGTCGATGTGGAACAGCTGCAGGAGGAGGAGGAGGAGTTAGCTGAGAGGACAGACAGTCTCAGGATCTGCGGAGGACCAGCTCACCTGTCCGTTCTCCTTCACCATGATGTTGGAGTTGTGTCGGTCTCCGATTCCCAGGATGAACGTTGCTACGCAGTAACCTGCACATGACCTGGTGAACAGGTCGATGGCCCGGTCATACCTGAGGGACAGACAGGAAGTGAGACAGACAGGTAGTCGGGCAGATGGCCAGGTAGACAGACAGGTAGACAGACAGGTAGACAGACGGGTACTGAGACAGACAGGTAGACAGACAGGTAGACAGACGGGTAGACAGACAGGTAGACAGATGGGTACTGAGACAGACAGGTAGACAGACAGGTAGACAGATGGGTAGACAGACAGGTAGACAGACAGGTAGACAGACGGGTAGACAGACGGGTACTGAGACAGACAGGTAGACAGACAGGTAGACAGACGGGTAGACAGACAGGTAGACAGATGGGTACTGAGACAGACAGGTAGACAGACAGGTAGACAGACGGGTAGACAGACAGGTAGACAGACAGGTAGACAGACGGGTAGACAGACGGGTAGACAGACAGGTAGACAGACAGGTAGACAGACGGGTAGACAGACGGGTAGACAGACGGGTAGACAGACAGGTAGACAGACGGGTAGACAGACAGGTAGACAGACAGGTAGACAGACGGTACTGACGCCTCTCCTCTGTTCTTGTCCTTGATCCAGTGGTGCAGGGTGTTGGAGTTGAACTGCAGTGCCCCCTTCAAACCTCCCTTACACTGAATCTGCATGATGGTGAAACTGTTCTTCACCACCTCGATCAGACCCACACAGTCCCCGATGGACAGGCAGCCGTACGGCAGCATGCTGACACACACACACACACACACACGGTTAGCCAGGTGTGATGATGACATCACAGTTAAAGGTACAGATGATGTCACAGGTTCTCACCGCAGGTCCAGGCCCTGGTTCTGCCAGATGTTCTCCATGATCTTGATGATCTGCAGAGTGAGCATGTCCTGGCGCAGGTCTGCAACACACACACACAGGTTACACACTACATTACCCACAATCCCTGAGCAGTGTTCTCCTGTTAGCAAGGTTAGCATTCTCCATTGAAACCAGTGTTGTCATTAGCAGTGAGCTAGCTACCATCTCCGTTCTTGAAGATGATCTCGTTGTTGGTGAAGAGCAGCTCGGACATGATGTCGGGGTTCTCCCAGTTCAACCACAGGGGGCGCTTCGCCGAGGACATGATCCTGCACTCCTCCAGCCTGAAGACACAAACTCTGTACTTTACTTTACTTTATATCGCTTTGTCACTTTACGTTGCCTTAATCTCCTCTAGCCTAAACACACAAACTCTTATCTTTAGTTAATTTTACTGTACTTTATCTTACTTTACTTACTACACTACATTTGCGTTGCACTTTGCGCCAGCTGCAAGATAGGGCCCAAACACATCACTTAGTTTACTTGACTCGACTTTAATAGACCATGAACTCCTCCAGACACACTTTACTTTGCTGACAACCTGCTCAGTACAGTGTCAGCAGCACAAAATACACTTCAGTTTCATAATTTCAACCAACACTCGTAGTCAAGGTTCCCCAGCTGGTGAACAGGTTTCAGTTACTTAGTCTATGTGTTACCCGAGGTTCCCCAGATGGTGAACGGGCTTCAGTTACTTAGTCTATGTGTTACCCGAGGTTCCCCAGATGGTAAACGGGCTTCAGTTACTTAGTCTATGTGTTACCCGAGGTTCCCCAGATGGTGAACAGGTTTCAGTTACTTAGTCTATGTGTTACCCGAGGTTCCCCAGATGGTGAACAGGTTTCAGTTACTTAGTCTATGTGTTACCCGAGGTTCCCCAGATGGTGAACGGGCTTCAGTTACTTAGTCTATGTGTTACCCGAGGTTTCCCAGATGGTGAACGGGCTTCAGTTACTTAGTCTATGTGTTACCCGAGGTTTCCCAGATGGTGAACAGGTTTCAGTTACTTAGTCTATGTGTTACCCGAGGTTCCCCAGATGGTAAACAGGTTTCAGTTACTTAGTCTATGTGTTACCCGAGGTTCCCCAGCTGGGTACAGGTTTCAGTTACTTAGTCTATGTGTTACCCGAGGTTCCCCAGATGGTGAACGGGCTTCAGTTACTTAGTCTATGTGTTACCCGAGGTTCCCCAGATGGTGAACGGGCTTCAGTTATTTAGTCTATGTGTTACCCGAGGTTCCCCAGCTGGGTACAGGTTTCAGTTACTTAGTCTATGTGTTACCCGAGGTTCCCCAGATGGTGAACAGGTTTCAGTTACTTAGTCTATGTGTTACCCGAGGTTCCCCAGCTGGGTACAGGTTTCAGTTATTTAGTCTATGTGTTACCAGAGGTTCCCCAGCTGGTGAACAGGTTTCAGTTACTTAGTCTATGTGTTACCAGAGGTTCCCCAGATGGTGAACAGGTTTCAGTTACTTAGTCTATGCGTTACCAGAGGTTCCCCAGCTGGTGAACAGGTTTCAGTTACTTAGTCTATGTGTTACCCGAGGTTCCCCAGCTGGTGAACAGGCTTTATTTAGTTAGTTGAAGTGTTGCCCCAGGATTCCCAGGTGGTGAACAGGCTTTATTTAGTTAGTTGAAGTGTTGCCCCAGGATTCCCAGGTGGTGAACAGGCTTTATTTAGTTAGTTGAAGTGTTGCCCCAGGATTCCTAGGTGGTGAACCGGCTGTACATGTTGCCGACCAGCTTAGCAACATGGACTGGAGCAAGAATTTCAGAGTGGTGAGTTATTAATCTGTAACAAAAGGATCTTTCATCCATAAAGTTTTAACTGAGCTCTGTCTCTACATCACAGGAACAACTTTATGTCCACTGACTGCCTGGAGGGTAGCTAGTGTTTGGAAGGGAGTCGCCGGGATGAAAGGGAAGCGGCTGGTCTACAAACGAGCTGCTTTCAGGCAGTTCAGAGCAGAGCTTTCTGTGGGAGATGGGAACTCCGTTTTGGGGTGGACTTTGGGCTTTTTCACTTTGCAAACCTGTTACATGGACAAAAAAGATATATAACTCAATAAAGGAGAGGGGAAAAGCCAAAAAGCAGAATACCACCTCTTTAAAGTTTTGCCTGAGGATTCCCAGGTGGTGAATGAGCTTCAGTTAGTTAGTTAGTTGATGTGTGAGACGAGGATTCACAGACGGTGGACAGGGTTTCAGTTAGTTATTTAGTTAGTTGATGCGTTACCCGAGATTTTCCAGCTGGTTAACAGGGTTCAGTTAGTTATTTAGTTAGTTGATGTGTTACCTGAGGTTTCCCAGCTGGTGAACAGGTTTCAGTTACTTAGTCTATGCGTTACCAGAGGTTCCCCAGCTGGTGAACAGGTTTCAGTTACTTAGTCTATGTGTTACCCGAGGTTCCCCAGATGGTGAACAGGGTTTCAGTTAGTTAGTTAGTTGAAGTGTTGCCCCAGGATTTCCAGGTGGTAAACAAGTTTCAGTCAGTTAGGTAGTTGAAGTTTTACCCGGGTTTTCCCAGCTGGTTTCAGATAGGTAAAGTTTTACCTGAGATTCCCCAGATGGTGAACGGGCTTCAGTTACTTAGTCTATGTGTTACCCGAGGTTCCCCAGACGGTGAACAGGGTTTCAGTTAGTTAGTTAGTTAGTTCAAGTGTTACCTGAGATTCCCCAGACGGTGAACAGGGTTTCAGTTAGATAGTTAGTTGAAGTGTTGCCCCAGGATTTCCAGGTGTTAAACAAGTTTCAGTTAGTTAGGTAGTTGAAGTTTTACCCGGGTTTTCCCAGCTGGTTTCAGATAGGTAAAGTTTTACCTGAGATTCCCCAGATGGTGAATGGGCTTCAGTTAGTTAGTTAGTTAGTTAGTTCAAGTGTTCCCTGAGATTCCCCAGACGGTGAACAGGGTTTCAGTTAGTTAGTTAGTTAGTTAGTTCAAGTGTTACCTGAGATTCCCCAGACGGTGAACAGGGTTTCAGTTAGTTAGTTAGTTAGTTAGTTCAAGTGTTACCTGAGATTCCCCAGATGGTGAACGGGCTTCAGTTAGTTAGTTAGTTAGTTAGTTAGTTCAAGTGTTACCTGAGATTCCCCAGACGGTGAACAGGGTTTCAGTTAGTTAGTTAGTTAGTTAGTTCAAGTGTTACCTGAGATTCCCCAGATGGTGAACGGGCTTCAGTTAGTTAGTTAGTTAGTTAGTTCAAGTGTTACCCGAGGTTCCCCAGACGGTGAACAGGCTTTCAGTTAGTTAGTTAGTTGAAGTGTTGCCCCAGGATTTCCAGGTGGTAAACAAGTTTCAGTCAGTTAAGTAGTTGAAGTTTTACCCAGGTTTTCCCAGCTGGTTTCAGATAGGTAAAGTTTTACCTGAGATTCCCCAGATGGTGAACGGGCTTCAGTTACTTAGTCTATGTGTTACCTGAGATTCCCCAGATGGTGAATGGGCTTCAGTTAGTTAGTTAGTTAGTTCAAGTGTTACCTGAGACGGTGAACAGGGTTTCAGTTAGTTAGTTAGTTAGTTCAAGTGTTACCTGAGATTCCCCAGACGGTGAACAGGGTTTCAGTTAGTTAGTTAGTTAGTTAGTTCAAGTGTTACCTGAGATTCCCCAGACGGTGAACAGGGTTTCAGTTAGTTGAAGTGTTGCCCCAGGATTCCCAGGTGGTGAACAGGCTTTATTTAGATAGTTGAAGTGTTGCCCCAGGATTCCTAGGTGGTGAACAGGCTTTATTTAATTAGTTGAAGTGTTGCCCCAGGATTCCCAGCTGGTGAACAGGCTTTATTTAGTTAGTTGAAGTGTTGCCCCAGGATTCCCAGGTGGTGAACAGGCTTTATTTAGTTAGTTGAAGTGTTGCCCCAGGATTCCTAGGTGGTGAACCGGCTGTACATGTTGCCGACCAGCTTAGCAACATGGACTGGAGCAAGAATTTCAGAGTGGTGAGTTATTAATCTGTAACAAAAGGATCTTTCATCCATAAAGTTTTAACTGAGCTCTGTCTCTACATCACAGGAACAACTTTATGTCCACTGACTGCCTGGAGGGTAGCTAGTGTTTGGAAGGGAGTCGCCGGGATGAAAGGGAAGCGGCTGGTCTACAAACGAGCTGCTTTCAGGCAGTTCAGAGCAGAGCTTTCTGTGGGAGATGGGAACTCCGTTTTGGGGTGGACTTTGGGCTTTTTCACTTTGCAAACCTGTTACATGGACAAAAAAGATATATAACTCAATAAAGGAGAGGGGAAAAGCCAAAAAGCAGAATACCACCTCTTTAAAGTTTAGCCTGAGGATTCCCAGGTGGTGAATGAGCTTCAGTTAGTTAGTTAGTTGATGTGTGAGACGAGGATTCACAGACGGTGGACAGGGTTTCAGTTAGTTATTTAGTTAGTTGATGCGTTACCCGAGATTTTCCAGCTGGTTAACAGGGTTCAGTTAGTTATTTAGTTAGTTGATGTGTTACCTGAGGTTTCCCAGCTGGTGAACAGGTTTCAGTTACTTAGTCTATGCGTTACCAGAGGTTCCCCAGCTGGTGAACAGGTTTCAGTTACTTAGTCTATGTGTTACCTGAGGTTTCCCAGCTGGTGAACAGGGTTCAGTTAGTTAGTTGATGTGTTACCTGAGGTTTCCCAGCTGGTGAACAGGGTTCAGTTAGTTAGTTGATGTGTTACCTGAGGTTTCCGAGCTGGTGAACAGGGTTCAGTTAGTTAGTTGATGTGTTACCTGAGGTTTCCCAGCTGGTTAACAGGGTTCAGTTAGTTAGTTGATGTGTTACCTGAGGTTTCCCAGCTGGTGAACAGGGTTCAGTTAGTTAGTTGATGTGTTACCTGAGGTTTCCCAGCTGGTGAACAGGGTTCAGTTAGTTAGTTGATGTGTTACCTGAGGTTTCCCAGCTGGTGAACAGGGTTCAGTTAGTTAGTTGATGTGTTACCTGAGGTTTCCCAGCTGGTGAACAGGGTTCAGTTAGTTAGTTGATGTGTTACCTGAGGTTTCCGAGCTGGTGAACAGGGTTCAGTTAGTTAGTTGATGTGTTACCTGAGGTTTCCCAGCTGGTTAACAGGGTTCAGTTAGTTAGTTGATGTGTTACCTGAGGTTTCCCAGCTGGTGAACAGGGTTCAGTTAGTTAGTTGATGTGTTACCTGAGGTTTCCCAGCTGGTGAACAGGGTTTCAGTTAGTTATTTAGTTAGTTGATGTGTTACCTGAGGTTTTCCAGCTGGTTAACAGGGTTCAGTTAGTTATTTAGTTAGCTTGATGTGTTACCTGAGGTTTTCCAGCTGGTTAACAGGGTTCAGTTAGTTAGTTGATGTGTTTCCTGAGGTTTCCCAGCTGGTTAACAGGGTTCAGTTAGTTAGTTGATGTGTTACCTGAGGTTTCCCAGCTGGTTAACAGGGTTCAGTTAGTTAGTTGATGTGTTACCTGAGGTTTCCCAGCTGGTTAACAGGGTTCAGTTAGTTAGTTGATGTGTTACCTGAGGTTTCCCAGCTGGTTAACAGGGTTCAGTTAGTTAGTTGATGTGTTACCTGAGGTTTCCCAGCTGGTTAACAGGGTTCAGTTAGTTATTTAGTTAGCTTGATGTGTTACCTGAGGTTTTCCAGCTGGTTAACAGGGTTCAGTTAGTTAGTTGATGTGTTACCTGAGGTTTCCCAGCTGGTGAACAGGGTTCAGTTAGTTAGTTGATGTGTTACCTGAGGTTTCCCAGCTGGTGAACAGGGTTCAGTTAGTTAGTTGATGTGTTACCTGAGGTTTCCCAGCTGGTTAACAGGGTTCAGTTAGTTAGTTGATGTGTTACCTGAGGTTTCCCAGCTGGTGAACAGGGTTCAGTTAGTTAGTTGATGTGTTACCTGAGGTTTCCCAGCTGGTGAACAGGGTTCAGTTAGTTAGTTGATGTGTTACCTGAGGTTTCCCAGCTGGTTAACAGGGTTCAGTTAGTTAGTTGATGTGTTACCTGAGGTTTCCCAGCTGGTTAACAGGGTTCAGTTAGTTAGTTGATGTGTTACCTGAGGTTTCCCAGCTGGTGAACAGGGTTCAGTTAGTTAGTTGATGTGTTACCTGAGGTTTCCCAGCTGGTGAACAGGGTTCAGTTAGTTAGTTGATGTGTTACCTGAGGTTTCCCAGCTGGTTAACAGGGTTCAGTTAGTTAGTTGATGTGTTACCTGAGGTTTCCCAGCTGGTGAACAGGGTTCAGTTAGTTAGTTGATGTGTTACCTGAGGTTTCCCAGCTGGTTAACAGGGTTCAGTTAGTTAGTTGATGTGTTACCTGAGGTTTCCCAGCTGGTTAACAGGGTTCAGTTAGTTAGTTGATGTGTTACCTGAGGTTTCCCAGCTGGTTAACAGGGTTCAGTTAGTTAGTTGATGTGTTACCTGAGGTTTCCCAGCTGGTTAACAGGGTTCAGTTAGTTAGTTGATGTGTTACCTGAGGTTTCCCAGCTGGTTAACAGGGTTCAGTTAGTTATTTAGTTAGTTGATGTGTTACCTGAGGTTTCCCAGCTGGTTAACAGGGTTCAGTTAGTTAGTTGATGTGTTACCTGAGGTTTCCCAGCTGGTTAACAGGGTTCAGTTAGTTATTTAGTTAGTTGATGTGTTACCTGAGGTTTTCCAGCTGGTTAACAGGGTTCAGTTAGTTAGTTGATGTGTTACCTGAGGTTTCCCAGCTGGTTAACAGGGTTCAGTTAGTTAGTTGATGTGTTACCTGAGGTTTCCCAGCTGGTTAACAGGGTTCAGTTAGTTATTTAGTTAGCTTGATGTGTTACCTGAGGTTTTCCAGCTGGTTAACAGGGTTCAGTTAGTTAGTTGATGTGTTACCTGAGGTTTCCCAGCTGGTGAACAGGGTTCAGTTAGTTAGTTGATGTGTTACCTGAGGTTTCCCAGCTGGTGAACAGGGTTCAGTTAGTTAGTTGATGTGTTACCTGAGGTTACCTGAGGTTTCCCAGCTGGTGAACAGGGTTCAGTTAGTTAGTTGATGTGTTACCTGAGGTTTCTCAGCTGGTGAACAGGGTTCAGTTAGTTAGTTGATGTGTTACCTGAGGTTTCCCAGCTGGTGAACAGGGTTCAGTTAGTTAGTTGATGTGTTACCTGAGGTTACCTGAGGTTTCCCAGCTGGTGAACAGGGTTCAGTTAGTTAGTTGATGTGTTACCTGAGGTTTCCCAGCTGGTGAACAGGGTTCAGAGGAGAGACAAATCCCTGAAGAGCCTCCATGTAATCAGGACGAGACATATGTTCTACCAGGAACTTCATCTGAGTCTAATAACAAATCACAGCACAGCAGCACATCACTATAAACCAGTCTCACTTATCTTTACTCAATCATTTAATCCAACAGAGAGAAGAGGCATCTTTTAAAATAAATATCTATCTTGTTTTTATTTTACAAGTTTTCATACTTTCTGTGTTTCGTCCTTTTTCTCTTGTTTCAGTGTGTCGGTCAGATTCACCAGTTTATCCATGGCCTCCACCTGCAAACACACACACACAGACTGATGTTGTTGGATGCAGTATCACACTGAGCCACCAGATGGAAGCAGCTTCACATTAATAAACAATCACAATCAGTCTGAGAGGAAGTGACAGACAGAAAAGAAACATCACTGATTAATAAGAGTATTGAGACACACTGACCCTTTGTTCACCTGTCTGTTCAGGTGTTTCAGTGCTCACCTGTCTGTTCAGGTGTTTCAGGTGTTTCAGTGCTCACCTGTCTGTTCAGGTGTTTCAGTGCTCACCTGTCTGTTCAGGTGTTTCAGGTGTTTCAGTGCTCACCTGTCTGTTCAGGTGTTTCAGTGCTCACCTGTCTGTTCAGGTGTTTCAGTGCTCACCTGTCTGTTCAGGTGTTTCAGGTGTTTCAGTGCTCACCTGTCTGTTCAGGTGTTTCAGTGTTCACCTGTCTGTTCAGGTGTTTCAGTGCTCACCTGTCTGTTCAGGTGTTTCAGGTGTTTCAGTGCTCACCTGTCTGTTCAGGTGTTTCAGTGCTCACCTGTCTGTTCAGGTGTTTCAGTGCTCACCTGTCTGTTCAGGTGTTTCAGGTGTTTCAGTGTTCACCTGTCTGTTCAGGTGTTTCAGTGTTCACCTGTCTGTTCAGGTGTTTCAGTGCTCACCTGTCTGTTCAGGTGTTTCAGTGTTCACCTGTCTGTTCAGGTGTTTAGTGTTCACCTGTCTGTTCAGGTGTTTCAGTGCTCACCTGTCTGTTCAGGTGTTTCAGTGCTCACCTGTCTGTTCAGCTGTTTCAGTGCTCACCTGTCTGTTCAGGTGTTTCAGTGCTCACCTGTCTGTTCAGGTGTTTCAGGTGTTTTAGTGCTCACCTGTCTGTTCAGCTGTTTCAGTGCTCACCTGTCTGTTCAGGTGTTTCAGTTCTCACCTGTCTGTTCAGGTGTTTCAGTGCTCACCTGTCTGTTCAGCTGTTTCAGTGCTCACCTGTCTGTTCAGCTGTTTCAGTGCTCACCTGTCTGTTCAGGTGTTTCAGTTCTCACCTGTCTGTTCAGGTGTTTCAGTGCTCACCTGTCTGTTCAGGTGTTTCAGTGCTCACCTGTCTGTTCAGGTGTTTCAGTGCTCACCTGTCTGTTCAGGTGTTTCAGGTACATGCCGCAGGCTCTGCAGAAAGCTTCCAGCAGCAGGCCGAAGCGCCGGGACACGGTCTTATTGTGCATCTCTGACCTGAGAACAGCGTTACCAAAACATTAAAGAACTAGTAAACTTTGTTAGTCAGTGAATCAGTAACGACTGAGGTCAACGTGGATGAGATAAAGATGTGCTTTATTCCACAGGTTGAGTTTCTCACTTGAGATGCCAGAAGAAGAAGTGTCCTATCCTCTGATTGGTCAGAGCTTTCTTAATCAGGAAACGAGCCAGAGGATTGTCCAGATACATCTCATATTTTAACACCTGCAAACACACAATTTCTCAATTTCAGTTTTTCCCAGAGTTTTCAGGATATACACTCTAAGTTTTTATGTTGCTGATGTTTAGCTACCTTGTGTTCAGAGCACCTCGGGGTTTAAAAACCTAACCCTATCCAGAGGTGGAGTTGCAGGAGTTAATGCTGTTAGTGTTGGGTTGATGCTCCTAATGTGAATAGAGAACAATACTGGGTGATGGCCGGCGTTCGCTTTATGTTTTTCTGACTTCCCATGCAACTCTGATGCCTTTATACCCAAAGAGTGTTTCCTTGCACTCGGTCCAGCAGGCTTCTTTATTTTTAACAACAAGGAACCAAATGTGCTGTAGTTGTTCCCCGTGTTGTGTTTTATTTTGTAGTGTTCAGTTCTCATGTGTGCTTGTCTAGCTTTGTTTCCTGTTGTTTAATTGCTTGTGTTTCACCTGTGTTTAGTTGCCCTGACTGCTTGTTTGTGTGTGTGGTGTGCCTCTGTATATATATTAGCCTCAGTTCTGTTCAGTCTTTAGTCCCTTAGTCGTACGTTGAGTGTTCAGCCGTGCCTTGCTCTGTGTTTTTGGATTTGTACCTTGTTCCATGTTTTCTGGATTATTCCCTTGGATTATGTTTCCTGGTGGATTACGCCATTCTTTGGACTTTGCCTGCATTTGCGAGTAAGCCTGAGTATGTCTGTTTTGTTAGAGAATATTTTTTGTTGAACTGCATCCCCTGCTCGTGTCTGTGTTTGGGTCCACACCTAACACTGCACTCAGCCATTCCCATGACATGTTCAGAACATCGTGGGTCATGTTGGAAGTTAATAGTTTATTGTTAGGTGGCTGTTGTTCTTGGTTCCTGTGATGAACGTCATTAACTCTTAGGACTCGCCAATCAAGCCCGCATGATCAGATCACATGACTGATTCACGATAGCGCAGTAACAAAACAACGTCATGTAGATCACTTCTGTCAAAAGTGCTGATTGATTCAGCTGGTGTCTACATCTAATCTCTTTCTCACTGACTAGAACAATGTTGGTTCAGTCTGTAACATAAAGTCAGAGTCCAACACCAGACCAGCCCTAGTGTGAACGCACCTGTACGAGCTGCAGCAGGTACTGCGACAGCTTGTCGTCCGTCAGGCCTTGCACCAGGCAGCGCAGAGCGAACTCTCTGACCATCGGATCAGGAAAGTTACAGTCCAACAACTCCAGAGCCGACTCAGGCTCCATCAGGGGCCACTCCTTCAACAAACAGTACATCTGAGGAGGAGGAGGAGGGAGGAAGAGAAAGAAGAGGAAGGTGACAGAGAGGTGGCTGATAAGACCAACTGAAAAACATAAAGAAACCATCCTGAATGTGAGAGTGTGTTTGTACCTGGGACACTTCGTCTCTGGAGTTCCATTTGACAGACAAAAGCAGCTTAGGAAGAGACTCTGGGATGTTTACACAGTAATGTCTGCAGAGAGAGACAGGCAGACAGAGAGACAGGAAGAGAGACAGGTAGACAGAGAGACAGGTGGAAAGACACCGACACAAAAAGACAAACAATAAAACAGACAGAAATACAAACATAAAGAGACACAGAAAGGCCGGTGTGGACAGGTACACGTTAGGATGGGTAGAGACAGGTTAAGATGAAAGATGACGCAAACTCAAAGACAGGTAAAGACACAGAGGCAGGCGAAGACAGGTAGAATCACTTATTTGTGTTATAGGCCATTTTTTGTGTAAACCCTCCATGTTAAGCTAAACCCCTCAAGTAAGTCCCGCCCCTTATTGGTCTCCATGTTAAGTCCCACCCCCCACATGCGTCTCCACGTTAAGCCCAGCCCCTCACCTGTGTCTCCAGAGGAAGTCCTTCTCCTGCTCTGAGAGCTCGTAGAGAGGATCTCTAGAGCAAAGACAGCGAAGCTGCTCTGCATCACCTGGTGAAACACTGCTGTCACAGGCCAGACGACTGCTCTGAGACAGCGAGAACGGGGGAGGAGGGGCAGACAAGGTCAAAGAGAGACCAGTAGTTGTGTATATATGTTACCAGTCAGTAGCAGTAGTTGTGTATATATGTTACCAGTCAGTAGCAGTAGTTGTGTATATATGTTACCAGTCAGTAGCAGTAGTTGTGTATATGTGTTACCAGTCAGTAGCAGTAGTTGTGTATATATGTTACCAGTCAGTAGCAGTAGTTGTGTTCAATGTTACCAGTCAGTAGCAGTAGTTGTGTATATATGTTACCAGTCAGTAGCAGTAGTTGTGTATATATGTTACCAGTCAGTAGCAGTAGTTGTGTATATATGTTACCAGTCAGTAGCAGTAGTTGTGTATATATGTTACCAGTCAGTAGCAGTAGTTGTGTATATATGTTACCAGTTAGTAGCAGTAGTTGTGTATATATGTTACCAGTCAGTAGCAGTAGTTGTGTATATATGTTACCAGACAGTAGCAGTAGTTGTGTATATATGTTACCAGTCAGTAGCAGTAGTTGTGTGTATATGTTACCAGTCAGTAGCAGTAGTTGTGTGTATATGTTACCAGTCAGTAGCAGTAGTTGTGTGTATATGTTACCAGTCAGTAGCAGTAGTTGTGTATATATGTTACCAGTCAGTAGCAGTAGTTGTGTATATATGTTACCAGTCAGTAGCAGTAGTTGTGTATATATGTTACCAGTCAGTAGCAGTAGTTGTGTGTATATGTTACCAGTCAGTAGCAGTAGTTGTGTGTATATGTTACCAGTCAGTAGCAGTAGTTGTGTGTATATGTTACCAGTCAGTAGCAGTAGTTGTGTATATATGTTACCAGTCAGTAGCAGTAGTTGTGTTCAATGTTACCAGTCAGTAGCAGTAGTTGTGTATATATGTTACCAGTCAGTAGCAGTAGTTGTGTATATATGTTACCAGTCAGTAGCAGTAGTTGTGTTCAATGTTACCAGTCAGTAGCAGTAGTTGTGTATATATGTTACCAGTTAGTAGCAGTAGTTGTGTATATATGTTACCAGTCAGTAGCAGTAGTTGTGTTCAATGTTACCAGTCAGTAGCAGTAGTTGTGTATATATGTTACCAGTCAGTAGCAGTAGTTGTGTATATATGTTACCAGTCAGTAGCAGTAGTTGTGTATATATGTTACCAGTCAGTAGCAGTAGTTGTGTATATATGTTACCAGTAGTTTTGTGTATATGTGTTACCAGTCAGTAGCAGTAGTTGTGTATATATGTTACCAGTCAGTAGCAGTAGTTGTGTATATATGTTACCAGTCAGTAGCAGTAGTTGTGTATATGTGTTACCAGTCAGTAGCAGTAGTTGTGTATATATGTTACCAGTCAGTAGCAGTAGTTGTGTATATATGTTACCAGTCAGTAGCAGTAGTTGTGTATATATGTTACCAGTCAGTAGCAGTAGTTGTGTATATATGTTACCAGTTAGTAGCAGTAGTTGTGTATATATGTTACCAGTCAGTAGCAGTAGTTGTGTATATATGTTACCAGTCAGTAGCAGTAGTTGTGTATATATGTTACCAGTCAGTAGCAGTAGTTGTGTATATATGTTACCAGACAGTAGCAGTAGTTGTGTATATATGTTACCAGTCAGTAGCAGTAGTTGTGTTCAATGTTACCAGTCAGTAGCAGTAGTTGTGTGTATATGTTACCAGTCAGTAGCAGTAGTTGTGTGTATATGTTACCAGTCAGTAGCAGTAGTTGTGTGTATATGTTACCAGTCAGTAGCAGTAGTTGTGTATATATGTTACCAGTCAGTAGCAGTAGTTGTGTATATATGTTACCAGTCAGTAGCAGTAGTTGTGTATATATGTTACCAGTCAGTAGCAGTAGTTGTGTATATATGTTACCAGTCAGTAGCAGTAGTTGTATATATGTTACCAGTCAGTAGCAGTAGTTGTGTATATATGTTACCAGTCAGTGGCAGTAGTTTTGTATATATGTTACCAGTCAGTAGCAGTAGTTGTGTTCAATGTTACCAGTCAGTAGCAGTAGTTGTGTTCAATGTTACCAGTCAGTAGCAGTAGTTGTGTATATATGTTACCAGTCAGTGGCAGTAGTTGTGTATATATGTTACCAGTCAGTGGCAGTAGTTTTGTATATATGTTACCAGTCAGTAGCAGTAGTTGTGTTCAATGTTACCAGTCAGTAGCAGTAGTTGTGTATATATGTTACCAGTAGTAGCAGTAGTTGTGTATATATGTTACCAGTCAGTAGCAGTAGTTGTGTGTATATGTTACCAGTCAGTAGCAGTAGTTGTGTATATGTTACCAGTCAGTAGCAGTAGTTGTGTATATATGTTACCAGTCAGTAGCAGTAGTTGTGTATATATGTTACCAGTCAGTAGCAGTAGTTGTGTTCAATGTTACCAGTCAGTAGCAGTAGTTGTGTATATATGTTACCAGTCAGTAGCAGTAGTTGTGTTCAATGTTACCAGTCAGTAGCAGTAGTTGTGTATATATGTTACCAGTTAGTAGCAGTAGTTGTGTATATATGTTACCAGTCAGTAGCAGTAGTTGTGTTCAATGTTACCAGTCAGTAGCAGTAGTTGTGTATATATGTTACCAGTCAGTAGCAGTAGTTGTGTATATATGTTACCAGTCAGTAGCAGTAGTTGTGTATATATGTTACCAGTCAGTAGCAGTAGTTGTGTGTATATGTTACCAGTCAGTAGCAGTAGTTGTGTATATATGTTACCAGTCAGTAGCAGTAGTTGTGTATATATGTTACCAGTCAGTAGCAGTAGTTGTGTATACATGTTACCAGTCAGTAGCAGTAGTTGTGTATATATGTTACCAGTCAGTAGCAGTAGTTGTGTATATATGTTACCAGACAGTAGCAGTAGTTGTGTATATATGTTACCAGTCAGTAGCAGTAGTTGTGTTCAATGTTACCAGTCAGTAGCAGTAGTTGTGTATATATGTTACCAGTCAGTAGCAGTAGTTGTGTTCAATGTTACCAGTCAGTAGCAGTAGTTGTGTATATATGTTACCAGTTAGTAGCAGTAGTTGTGTATATATGTTACCAGTCAGTAGCAGTAGTTGTGTTCAATGTTACCAGTCAGTAGCAGTAGTTGTGTATATATGTTACCAGTCAGTAGCAGTAGTTGTGTATATATGTTACCAGTCAGTAGCAGTAGTTGTGTATATATGTTACCAGTCAGTAGCAGTAGTTGTGTATATATGTTACCAGTAGTTTTGTGTATATGTGTTACCAGTCAGTAGCAGTAGTTGTGTATATATGTTACCAGTCAGTAGCAGTAGTTGTGTATATATGTTACCAGTCAGTAGCAGTAGTTGTGTTCAATGTTACCAGTCAGTAGCAGTAGTTGTGTATATATGTTACCAGACAGTAGCAGTAATTGTGTGTATGTGTTACCAGTCAGTAGCAGTAGTTGTGTGTATATGTTACCAGTCAGTAGCAGTAGTTGTGTATATATGTTACCAGTCAGTAGCAGTAGTTGTGTATATATGTTACCAGTCAGTAGCAGTAGTTGTGTATATGTGTTACCAGTCAGTAGCAGTAGTTGTGTGTATATGTTACCAGTCAGTAGCAGTAGTTGTGTATATATGTTACCAGTCAGTAGCAGTAGTTGTGTGTATATGTTACCAGTCAGTAGCAGTAGTTGTGTATATATGTTACCAGTCAGTAGCAGTAGTTGTGTATATGTGTTACCAGTCAGTAGCAGTAGTTGTGTGTATATGTTACCAGTCAGTAGCAGTAGTTGTGTATATATGTTACCAGTCAGTAGCAGTAGTTGTGTATATGTGTTACCAGTCAGTAGCAGTAGTTGTGTGTATATGTTACCAGTCAGTAGCAGTAGTTGTGTATATATGTTACCAGTCAGTAGCAGTAGTTGTGTGTATATGTTACCAGTCAGTAGCAGTAGTTGTGTATATATGTTACCAGTCAGTAGCAGTAGTTGTGTATATGTGTTACCAGTCAGTAGCAGTAGTTGTGTGTATATGTTACCAGTCAGTAGCAGTAGTTGTGTATATATGTTACCAGTCAGTAGCAGTAGTTGTGTGTATATGTTACCAGTCAGTAGCAGTAGTTGTGTATATGTGTTACCAGTCAGTAGCAGTAGTTGTGTGTATATGTTACCAGTCAGTAGCAGTAGTTGTGTATATGTGTTACCAGTCAGTAGCAGTAGTTGTGTGTATATGTTACCAGTCAGTAGCAGTAGTTGTGTATATGTGTTACCAGTCAGTAGCAGTAGTTGTGTGTATATGTTACCAGTCAGTAGCAGTAGTTGTGTATATATGTTACCAGTCAGTAGCAGTAGTTGTGTATATATGTTACCAGTCAGTAGCAGTAGTTGTGTATATATGTTACCAGTCAGTAGCAGTAGTTGTGTATATGTTACCAGTCAGTAGCAGTAGTTGTGTATATATGTTACCAGTCAGTAGCAGTAGTTGTGTATATATGTTACCAGTCAGTAGCAGTAGTTGTGTATATATGTTACCAGTCAGTAGCAGTAGTTGTGTATATATGTTACCAGTTAGTAGCAGTAGTTGTGTATATATGTTACCAGTCAGTAGCAGTAGTTGTGTATATATGTTACCAGACAGTAGCAGTAGTTGTGTATATATGTTACCAGTCAGTAGCAGTAGTTGTGTGTATATGTTACCAGTCAGTAGCAGTAGTTGTGTGTATATGTTACCAGTCAGTAGCAGTAGTTGTGTGTATATGTTACCAGTCAGTAGCAGTAGTTGTGTATATATGTTACCAGTCAGTAGCAGTAGTTGTGTATATATGTTACCAGTCAGTAGCAGTAGTTGTGTATATATGTTACCAGTCAGTAGCAGTAGTTGTGTATATATGTTACCAGTCAGTAGCAGTAGTTGTGTTCAATGTTACCAGTCAGTAGCAGTAGTTGTGTATATATGTTACCAGTTAGTAGCAGTAGTTGTGTATATATGTTACCAGTCAGTAGCAGTAGTTGTGTTCAATGTTACCAGTCAGTAGCAGTAGTTGTGTATATATGTTACCAGTCAGTAGCAGTAGTTGTGTATATATGTTACCAGTCAGTAGCAGTAGTTGTGTATATATGTTACCAGTCAGTAGCAGTAGTTGTGTTCAATGTTACCAGTCAGTAGCAGTAGTTGTGTTCAATGTTACCAGTCAGTGGCAGTAGTTGTGTATATATGTTACCAGTCAGTGGCAGTAGTTTTGTATATATGTTACCAGTCAGTAGCAGTAGTTGTGTTCAATGTTACCAGTCAGTAGCAGTAGTTGTGTATATGTTACCAGTCAGTAGCAGTAGTTGTGTATACATGTTACCAGTCAGTAGCAGTAGTTGTGTATATATGTTACCAGTTAGTAGCAGTAGTTGTGTATATATGTTACCAGTCAGTAGCAGTAGTTGTGTTCAATGTTACCAGTCAGTAGCAGTAGTTGTGTATATGTTACCAGTCAGTAGCAGTAGTTGTGTATATATGTTACCAGTCAGTAGCAGTAGTTGTGTATATATGTTACCAGTCAGTAGCAGTAGTTGTGTTCAATGTTACCAGTCAGTAGCAGTAGTTGTGTTCAATGTTACCAGTCAGTGGCAGTAGTTGTGTATATATGTTACCAGTCAGTGGCAGTAGTTTTGTATATATGTTACCAGTCAGTAGCAGTAGTTGTGTTCAATGTTACCAGTCAGTAGCAGTAGTTGTGTATATATGTTACCAGTCAGTAGCAGTAGTTGTGTGTATATGTTACCAGTCCGTGGCAGTAGTTGTGTATATATGTTACCAGTCAGTAGCAGTAGTTGTGTGTATATGTTACCAGTCAGTAGCAGTAGTTGTGTATATATGTTACCAGTCAGTAGCAGTAGTTGTGTTCAATGTTACCAGTCAGTAGCAGTAGTTGTGTATATATGTTACCAGTCAGTAGCAGTAGTTGTGTTCAATGTTACCAGTCAGTAGCAGTAGTTGTGTTCAATGTTACCAGTCAGTAGCAGTAGTTGTGTATATATGTTACCAGTCAGTAGCAGTAGTTGTGTATATATGTTACCAGTCAGTAGCAGTAGTTGTGTATATATGTTACCAGACAGTAGCAGTAGTTGTGTATATATGTTACCAGTCAGTAGCAGTAGTTGTGTATATATGTTACCAGTCAGTAGCAGTAGTTGTGTATATATGTTACCAGTCAGTAGCAGTAGTTGTATATATGTTACCAGTCAGTAGCAGTAGTTGTGTTCAATGTTACCAGTCAGTGGCAGTAGTTGTGTATATATGTTACCAGTCAGTAGCAGTAGTTGTGTATATATGTTACCAGTCAGTAGCAGTAGTTGTGTATATATGTTACCAGTCCGTGGCAGTAGTTTTGTGTATATGTTACCAGTCAGTAGCAGTAGTTTTGTGTATATGTTACCAGTCAGTAGCAGTAGTTGTGTATATATGTTACCAGTCAGTAGCAGTAGTTGTGTATATATGTTACCAGTTAGTAGCAGTAGTTGTGTATATGTGTTACCAGTCAGTAGCAGTAGTTGTGTATATATGTTACCAGTCAGTAGCAGTAGTTGTGTATATATGTTACCAGTCAGTAGCAGTAGTTGTGTATATATGTTACCAGTCAGTAGCAGTAGTTGTGTATATATGTTACCAGTCAGTAGCAGTAGTTGTGTATATATGTTACCAGTCAGTAGCAGTAGTTGTGTATATATGTTACCAGTCAGTAGCAGTAGTTGTGTATATATGTTACCAGTCAGTAGCAGTAGTTGTGTATATATGTTACCAGTCAGTAGCAGTAGTTGTGTATATGTTACCAGTCAGTAGCAGTAGTTGTGTATATATGTTACCAGTCAGTAGCAGTAGTTGTGTATATATGTTACCAGTCAGTAGCAGTAGTTGTGTATATATGTTACCAGTCAGTAGTACTAGTTGTGTATATATGTTACCAGTCAGTAGCAGTAGTTGTGTATATATGTTACCAGTCAGTAGCAGTAGTTGTGTATATATGTTACCAGTCAGTAGTACTAGTTGTGTATATATGTTACCAGTCAGTAGCAGTAGTTGTGTATATATGTTACCAGTCAGTAGCAGTAGTTGTGTATATATGTTACCAGTCAGTAGCAGTAGTTGTGTATATATGTTACCAGTCAGTAGCAGTAGTTGTGTATATATGTTACCAGTCAGTGACAGTAGTTGTATATATATGTTACCAGTCCGTTGCAGTAGTTGTGTATATATGTTACCAGTCCGTGGCAGTAGTTTTGTGTATATGTTACCAGTCCGTGGCAGTAGTTTTGTATATATGTTACCAGTCCGTGGCAGTAGTTTTGTATATATGTTACCAGTCCGTGGCAGTAGTTTTGTGTATATGTTACCAGTCCGTGGCAGTAGTTTTGTGTATATGTTACCAGTCAGTAGCAGTAGTTGTGTATATATGTTACCAGTCAGTAGCAGTAGTTTTGTGTATATGTTACCAGTCCGTGGCAGTAGTTTTGTGTATATGTTACCAGACAGTAGCAGTAGTTGTGTGTATATGTTACCAGTCCGTGGCAGTAGTTTTGTGTATATGTTACCAGTCCGTGGCAGTAGTTGTGTATATATGTTACCAGTCCGTGGCAGTAGTTGTAGCCCAGCTCCCTGCTGATGGTCCAGTTAGCGTGTTCTTCTATCTGCTGCTCATCAGGAAACATGACAGTCTGATTAAACCAGGAGAACTCCAGCTCAACACAGGGAGTCTCCTACAGAGGACAAGACCATCAATCATTAAGTCACCTGAATCAGTCAGACGTGTTCATTGTGATGCAGACAGGTAGAGACAGGTGTTCTTTACCTTGTTGGGATTTGAACCAGCGACTCCGATGGGATTCAGGAGGTCCTCGAGACCATGAGGGACGGGCCAAAGACTCAGAGCCACTTTACCCGAAACCAGAATGTCAGTGTAGTCAAATAGGTTAACGTTTCCCCAGGCCAGAGGACAGTGCTCCTGAGAGACAGACAGGTGGGGAGGGAGACAGGTTCATCCAGTCAGTCTTTACACAGTCCTTCATGTGGTCATGTGCTCTGGTTTCCTTTCTTTCCTACCTCCTTGGCTCCTTTCCTTCCCTTCACAGAGCAGATAGACAGACAGAGTCTGGCTGAGCGAGGGAGGTCAGCCATGTAGATGTCGTAGGTCAGCCACTCGTTCCACCTGGAGACAGACAGGCAGAGAGAAAGAGACAGTTGGCAAAAATGAAATACAGGTTGTCAGAAAGACAAAGAGAGTGTTCTGTTCACCGCAATCATGACGGCAGCAACAAATGAGCCGCCGAACTGAACCTGAGGTGATGTCATACAGCCTAAGGTTTATATTCAGTGGGTGTTACCTGGGGTTGGAGCAGGGGACTCTCTGAGTGTTGACGTTGTCACAGAGCGGCTCTCCGCCGTGATAGATCCCGGTCCTCACATAGATCTACACACACAGATTTACAAAAATATTTTAACCTTCACACTCTCATGTTAACACACCATGATAGTCAGTCAGACAGATCTGTACACCAAGTTCAGCTAAACCGAAGGACACAGTAAGACAGCACCTCCTCAACTCGACTGTCCAATAAAAACATGAAGCTTGACTTTATTATTCAAAGTAATGTGGCAGCGACATATATTAGATCTACATGCCGAGACAAAAGTTTTCTTCCAAAGGTTTACGGTCACAAAACGACCAGAAAGAGACACAAAAGGACTGCAGAGAAATTTGTAGCTGAGCAACATTTCAGCAGAGCCAATTATTCAACTGTTGTCTCACAGAAACATGTCCTCTCATTAGATAAAGGTCGTGTTGACAGCTGTGTCCTTCACCTCAAGAAGACATAACAGAGTTGTCTTAAAGTCTAGCATGAAGCCTGCTTTAGTTGAATGTAAATAGAATCATGATGTGATATATTAGGCAATAAGTGAACATCCATCCATCCATCCATCGTCAACCGCTTATCCTGCGTAGAGGGTCGCGGGGGGGCTGGAGCCAATCCCAGCTGACATCGGGCGCAAGGCGGGGTCCACCCTGGACAGGTCGCCAGTCTATCGCAGGGCCACACATAGACAAACAACCACTCACGCTCACACCTAAGAACAATTTTAGAGACACCAATTAAGCTAGCCTGCATGTCTTTTGGATAGTGGGAGGAAGCCGGAGCACCTGGATAGAACATGCAAACTCCACACAGAAAGGCCGGGGAAACTGGGGTTTGAACCCACGACATTCCTGCTGTGAGGAAACAGTGCTAACTACTGCACCACCGCGCCACCCATAACTGAACATTGTGTCCTTAAAGTTGATGTGTCAGAAGCAGGTAAAATGGGCAAACAAGGGCCAAACTGTGATGGCTAGACAACTGGGTCAGAGGCTTTCCAGCCCGGTCTAGAGGGGTCAGTAACCAATCAGAAGCGGTCCAAGGAAGGAAAATGGATGAACCGGTTACAGGGTCACGGATAGGCACGTGGGGTGTAAAGGCTGGACGTGTGGTCCGATCCAACAGATCAGCCACTGTAGGTCAAACTGCTGAAAGAGTTGATGCTGGTTCTGGCTTGGGCGCTTGTTGGTATGTTTTCCGCTCTGTGGTGCAGTGTTCTCATGACCCCTAGCTTGTGCTCCAGTGGGTGGTGGGAATCGAACAGTAGGTATTGGTCTGTGTGTGTGGGTTTTACAAAGTCTATTGACTTTATAAGCAAAGTTCGAGGACTAAAACTGGATCCAGATGAAACCATGGTATCCTATGACGTGACTTCTTTGTTCACCTGCATCCCCACCATAGAAGCAGTAGAAACCGTTAGGAAACGGCTAACACAAGACAACACCCTGGACAACAGAACTAGACTCAGCCCTGACCAAATCTGCAAATTACTCGACCTCTGTCTAAACACCACCTACTTCCAGTACAACGCTGGATTCTACACCAGGGTTGAGAAGCCGTCATTGAACAGGGGAGGGGGTCTACGCCACCACTTATCCCCCACTTACAATGCTGTCCTTTCATCACTTCCCAGGAAACTCAACAAACGTAACCTATTGGCCTCAGGTGAAGATACCAACGATGGTCGTTCAGTCTCGGCCACAGGTAGTCTCAACGACTGTAACGACTGTCGTCACAGCAACAAGGAACACTAACGAACCAGCGGTATCGATGACCCGGGATAACGACCCCACTGAGGTTAAATAGCTGAGTTTCCCTGCCAGTCAGTCAGAACTGAAGAAGTCCTTTGGATGAGGGACGAAACGTCTTCCAGTATCTTCAACCAAGTCCAGTTGCCCTTGATTTTAACCTTCATTGGATAAGGTGTCAGAACACACTGAGTTTGCAGTTTGTTGCGTATGGGCTGCATTTCCACAGACCAGTCACGGTGCCCATGCTGACCCCTGTCCCCTGCTGAAAGCTCCTACAATGGGAAGAAGGCGAGCGGGCGGAGGCAGTGTGCTGGCACCTCTGGGAAACCTTGGGTCCTGCCATTCATGTAGATGTTACTTTGCACCCTGACAAAAAGCAAACATGCTTCAAGAACGGTTTGAGTAACACAATAACGAGTTCAAGGTGTTGACAAACAAGTCCTTGGAGGCCGCATCTCGCACTTTACAGGACTTAAAGGATCTGCTGCTAATGTCTTGGTGCCAGATACCACAGCACACCTTCCGGTCTGCTGGAGTCCATGTCTCAACGAGTCGGGGCTGTTTTGGCAGCACAACTGACTGTCTTCCATCTGTCCGGATGAGGAACAGCCTCTTGGTTAACGCTGTCACAGGGACACTGAACATGAACAGGTGCCGGACTGGTTCGGTTTCACAACAACAACAGAGATGAGCACAGACCAAGGAGGAGACAAACCTTGTCGATATCTCTGATGTTGACGTTGACGTAGGTGGCACAGAGCAGTCGGACCCTCAGCAGTGTGTTGAAGGCCCACAGAGAGCGAGAAGGAGAACCATCACCTCCTCCTGGACACGGAGACGGCTGAGGAGTCCGCCGACTGAAACACAAACAACAAACATCTTGGCTACCTGTACGAGCTCCTGATTGGATGTTACCTGTGTGTCAGAGATGCTGGTTGGCTGTCATACCTGTATGAAGGCGTGACAAAGCCAGAGGCAGGTAGCTGAGAGTAGAGACTGTCTTTGGAGACCAGCATCAGGTGAGGAAGACGACCCACAATGATACAGGAGCGGATATACTGCAGGGAGACAGGTGGAGGGAGAGACAGGTGGGGGGCAAGACAGGTAGACATAGTGAGACAGGTTGAAGTGGTTGTTGATGGTTTGTGTTTTAGAGTGAAGCTGTTACCTTGTACTGACTGAGAGGATATTTCTCCAACAGGTACTCGTCACAGCCACACACCTGAGGAGACAGACAGTCAGACAGACTGATTTACCTGTAACTCCTGGACACAGACAGACAGGTGAGTCAGACAGACAGGTGAGACAGACAGATAGGTGTACCTTCAGGATGTACTGTCCCTGGTACTCCTGGACACAGACAGACAGGTGAGTCAGACGGACAGGTGAGACAGACAGGTGTATCTTCAGGATGTACTGTCCTGGTATTTCGGGACAGAGACAGACAGGTGAGTCAGACAGACAGGTGAGTTAGACAGATAGGTGCATCAGACAGACAGGTGAGTCAGACGGACAGGTGAGTCAGACAGACAGGTGAGTTAGACAGATAGGTGCATCAGACAGACAGGTGAGACAGACAGATAGGTGTACCTTCAGGATGTACTGTCCCTGGTACTCCTGGACACAGACAGACAGGTGAGTCAGACAGACAGGTGAGACAGACAGGTGTATCTTCAGGATGTACTATCCTGGTATTTTGGGACACAGTCAGACAGGTGAGTCAGACATACAGGTGAGACAGACAGACAGGTGAGTCAGACAGACAGGTGAGACAGACATACAGGTGAGACAGACAGACAGGTGAGACAGACAGACAGGTGAGACAGACAGGTGTATCTTCAGGATGTACTATCCTGGTATTTTGGGACACAGTCAGACAGGTGAGTCAGACAGACAGGTGAGACAGACAGGTGAGACAGACAGACAGGTGAGTTAGACAGACAGGTGAGACAGACAGGTGAGACAGACAGACAGGTGAGTTAGACAGATAGGTGCATCAGACAGACAGGTGAGTTAGACAGATAGGTGCATCAGACAGACAGGTGAGACAGTCAGACAGGTGAGACAGACAGACAGGTGAGTTAGACAGATAGGTGAGTTAGACAGACAGGTGAGACAGACAGACAGGTGAGACAGACAGACAGGTGAGTCAGACGGACAGGTGAGTCAGACGGACAGGTGAGTCAGACGGACAGGTGAGACAGACAGGTGTATCTTCAGGATGTACTATCCTGGTATTTTGGGACACAGTCAGACAGGTGAGTCAGACGGACAGGTGAGTTAGACAGGTGAGACAGACAGACAGGTGAGTTAGACAGATAGGTGAGACAGACAGACAGGTGAGTCAGACATACAGGTGAGACAGACAGACAGGTGAGACAGACAGACAGGTGAGTCAGACGGACAGGTGAGTCAGACGGACAGGTGAGACAGACAGGTGTATCTTCAGGATGTACTATCCTGGTATTTTGGGACACAGTCAGACAGGTGAGTCAGACGGACAGGTGAGTTAGACAGATAGGTGCATCAGACAAACAGGTGAGTTAGACAGATAGGTGCATCAGACAGACAGGTGAGACAGTCAGACAGGTGAGTTAGACAGATAGGTGCATCAGACAAACAGGTGAGTTAGACAGATAGGTGCATCAGACAGACAGGTGAGACAGTCAGACAGGTGAGTCAGACGGACAGGTGAGTTAGACAGGTGAGACAGACAGACAGGTGAGTTAGACAGATAGGTGCATCAGACAGACAGGTGAGTTAGACAGATAGGTGCATCAGACAGACAGGTGAGTCAGACATACAGGTGAGACAGACAGACAGGTGAGTCAGACGGACAGGTGAGACAGACAGGTGTATCTTCAGGATGTACTATCCTGGTATTTTGGGACACAGTCAGACAGGTGAGACAGACGGACAGGTGAGACAGACAGGTGAGACAGACGGACAGGTGAGACAGACAGGTGTATCTTCAGGATGTACTATCCTGGTATTTTGGGACACAGTCAGACAGGTGAGTCAGACAGACAGGTGAGACAGACAGGTTAGGGTCAGGATGTACTATCCTGGTATTTTGGGACACAGTCAGACAGGTGAGTCAGACGGACAGGTGAGTTAGACAGATAGGTGCATCAGACAGACAGGTGAGTCAGACATACAGGTGAGACAGACAGACAGGTGAGTCAGACGGACAGGTGAGTCAGACGGACAGGTGAGACAGACAGGTGTATCTTCAGGATGTACTATCCTGGTATTTTGGGACACAGTCAGACAGGTGAGACAGACGGACAGGTGAGACAGACAGGTGAGACAGACGGACAGGTGAGACATACAGGTGAGACAGACAGACAGGTGAGTCAGACGGACAGGTGAGACAGACAGGTGTATCTTCAGGATGTACTATCCTGGTATTTTGGGACACAGTCAGACAGGTGAGTCAGACATACAGGTGAGTCAGACATACAGGTGAGACAGACAGACAGGTGAGACAGACAGGTGTATCTTCAGGATGTACTATCCTGGTATTTTGGGACACAGTCAGACAGGTGAGTCAGACGGACAGGTGAGACAGACAGGTGAGACAGACGGACAGGTGAGACAGACAGGTGTATCTTCAGGATGTACTATCCTGGTATTTTGGGACACAGTCAGACAGGTGAGTCAGACGGACAGGTGTATCTTCAGGATGTACTATCCTGGTATTTTGGGACACAGTCAGACAGGTGAGTCAGACGGACAGGTGAGACAGACAGGTGAGACAGACGGACAGGTGAGACAGACAGGTGTATCTTCAGGATGTACTATCCTGGTATTTTGGGACACAGTCAGACAGGTGAGTCAGACGGACAGGTGTATCTTCAGGATGTACTATCCTGGTATTTTGGGACACAGTCAGACAGGTGAGTCAGACAGACAGGTGAGACAGACAGACAGGTGAGACAGACAGACAGGTGAGACAGACAGGTGTATCTTCAGGATGTACTATCCTGGTATTTTGGGGCACAGTCAGACAGGTGAGTCAGACATACAGGTGAGACAGACAGACAGGTGAGACAGACAGGTGTATCTTCAGGATGTACTATCCTGGTATTTTGGGACACAGTCAGACAGGTGAGTCAGACAGACAGGTGAGACAGACAGACAGGTGAGACAGACAGGTGTATCTTCAGGATGTACTATCCTGGTATTTTGGGACACAGTCAGACAGGTGAGTCAGACGGACAGGTGAGTCAGACATACAGGTGAGACAGACAGACAGGTGAGACAGACGGACAGGTGTACCTTCAGGATGTACTGTCCCTGGTACTCCTGAACACAGAGGCGGAGCTGTTGAGGTGAGAGATGCATCGATCGGCTTTTCTTCCTGATGGACTCTGCTATCAGCTGCTCAGGTAAACTGTCGTGACTCACCTGTACACAAAAACACACAATACAACATCATACCTTGTTGTTATGTTTGAGAGTTTCTTTCTCAGATTTTTCTAGAGTTTGATATATAATTATTATTCATTTAGCTGACGCTTTTATCCAAAGCGACTTACAGCTGCTTTATATGTCAGAGGTCGAACGTCTCCGGAGCAACTAGGGGTTAAATGTCTGGCTCAGGGACACATTGGTGGATGGATCACAGTGGAAATCAAATTGTTTTTCCGGTCTCCTACACCGGTCTCCTACAGCAAAGGCTTGTGTCTTATCCACTGCTCCATCACCACCCCCATCCATTCAGTGTCAATTTTCATTCTATCCAACAACCTTAAAGCCACCATGCGTTGGGTTTTAAATGTCCTGACTTCTCAGTGGCCTCATCAATATCATTGTTGTAGACACTGATGCAATTACCCTGTTTGGGTGTTTTGGGTCAAAACTTGTTCAATCAGGTGCTCACAGCAGACTTTACTCTACACGGAAGCTTTAGCTGAATTTTATGGGTTAAATAATAATTTTCCAAATAATTTCTGATTAAATCTACATAAATATTAGTGTATAATGTAGTACAATTAGACAGATCAGGAAGACTCCCTAACGGCCGGTCAATTCCAGCCCCAACTTGCCGGTGGTTAAAGTGTTTTTATTTTTCATTTTCTCTTTTCTCTCTTTTATATGATCTGTGATCGAGCTGGTCAGTCGGTCAGCTGCAGCAGAACGTTGTATGTGTATCTGTTAGGCTGGGCTAAACTACCAGAGATAACCGGAGAACAGGGTGAATTTCAAAGAGCGAAAGAGTTTCAGTCCGCTCCCACACATCCTTTCATCTGACAACACACATCCAGCTTTACCTTTAGGGTGTATTTCTGTTTGGAGTTCGACGGAGACACGATCACCCAGATGGTAACAATCAACCTCCCTGCAGAGAGACAGATATAAAGAGAACAGTAGAGCATTATCCTACTTTGTAATATAACATTTCAATTTGATGTAACTGAAAGTAATTGAAATGGTAAAAAGCAATGGACAAATGGTAGCTAGCTAAAAGTTGAATTCATTAATTAAAACCTATGGATAAAAGGGTGAAATTGTTGGTAAAAAATAATGGGAAAAAAGTTTTAAATTGTGGGTTAAAAGTAATGGATAAAAGGTTGAAATGGTTAAAAGTAATGGATAAAAGGATACAATTGTTACCTAAAGGTGATGGATAAAATGTTGAAATGGTTTAAAGTAATGGATAAAAGGATACAATTGTTACCTAAAGGTGATGGATAAAATGTTGAAATGGTTTAAAGTGATGGATAAAAGGATACAATTGTTACCTAAAGGTGATGGAAAAAAGGTTGAAATGGTTAAAAGTAATGGATAAAAGGATACAATTGTTACCTAAAGGTGATGGATAAAATGTTGAAATGGTTTAAAGTGATGGATAAAAGGATACAATTGTTACCTAAAGGTGATGGATAAAAGGTTAAAATTGTTAGCTAAAAGTTATGGATAAAATGTTGAAATGGTTAAAAGTGATGGATAAAAGTTTAAAATTGTTAGCTAAAAGTAATGGATAAAATGTTGAAATGGTTAAAAGTGATGGATAAAAGGTGAAAATTTTTAGCTAAAAGTAATGGATAAAATGTTGAAATGGTTAAAAGTGATGGATAAAAGGTTGAAATGGTTAAAAGTAATGGATAAAAGGTTAAAATTGTTAGCTAAAAGTAATGGATAAAATGTTGAAATGGTTAAAAGTGATGGAAAAAAGGTTGAAATGGTTAAAAGTAATGGATAAAAGGTTAAAATTGTTAGCTAAAAGTAATGGATAAAAGGTTAAAATTGTTAGCTAAAAGTAATGGATAAAATGTTGAAATGGTTAAAAGTGATGGATAAAAGGTTAAAATGGTTAAAGTGATGGATAAAATGATACAATTGTTACCTAAAGGTGATGGATAAAATGTTGAAATGGTTAAAAGTGATGGATAAAAGGTTGAAATGGTTAAAAGTAATGGATAAAAGGTTAAAATTGTTAGCTAAAAGTAATGGATAAAATGTTGAAATGGTTAAAAGTGATGGATAAAAGGTTGAAATGGTTAAAAGTAATGGATAAAAGGTTAAAATTGTTAGCTAAAAGTGATGGATAAAAGGTTGAAATGGTTAAAAGTAATGGATAAAAGGTTAAAACTTTTAGCTAAAAGTAATGGATAAAATGTTGAAATGGTTAAAAGTGATGGATAAAAGGTTGAAATGGTTAAAAGTAATGGATAAAAGGTTAAAATTGTTAGCTAAAAGTAATGGATAAAATGTTGAAATGGTTAAAAGTGATGGATAAAAGGTTGAAATGGTTAAAAGTAATGGATAAAAGGTTAAAATTGTTAGCTAAAAGTAATGGAAAAAGGTTAAAATTGTTAGCTAAAAGTGATGGATACAAGTTTGAAATGGTTTAAAGTGATGGATAAAAGGTTAAAATTGTTAGCTAAAAGTAATGGATAAAATGTTGAAATGGTTAAAAGTGATGGATAAAAGGTTGAAATGGTTAAAAGTAATGGATAAAAGGTTAAAATTGTTAGCTAAAAGTAATGGAAAAAGGTTAAAATTGTTAGCTAAAAGTGATGGATACAAGTTTGAAATGGTTTAAAGTGATGGATAAAAGGTTAAAATTGTTAGCTAAAAGTAATGGATAAAATGTTGAAATGGTTAAAAGTGATGGATAAAAGGTTAAAATTGTTAGCTAAAAGTAATGGATAAAATGTTGAAATGGTTAAAAGTGATGGATAAAAGGTTAAAATTGTTAGCTAAAAGTAATAGATAAAATGTTGAAATGGTTAAAAGTGATGGATAAAAGGTTGAAATGGTTAAAAGTGATGGATAAAATGTTGAAATGGTTAAAGTGATGGATAAAATGATACAATTGTTACCTAAAGGTGATGGATAAAATGTTGAAATGGTTAGTGATGGATAAAATGTTGAAATGGTTAAAGTGATGGATAAAAGGATACAGTTGTTACCTAAAGGTGATGGATAAAATGTTGAAATGGTTTAAAGTGATGGATAAAAGTTTAAAATTGTTAGCTAAAAGTAATGGAAAAAGTTTTAAATTGTTAGCTAAAAGTAATGGATAAAATGTTGAAATGGTTAAAAGTGATGGATAAAAGATTAAAATTGTTAGGTAAAAATAATGGGAAAAGTTTAAAATTGTGGGTTTAAACGTAATGGATAAACCGTTGAAATAGTTAGCTAAGCTTAATATATAAAAGGTTGTAATGATCAAAAGGGGCTATACGCAGTTTTTTAATGAAATCATTTTTATTGCCTGTGTGTGAAGGGGTTATAATGTGGCAGTGGAAGTTCATTTGAGTTTCCATCATTTTGTGTAAAGCCCCTTTAAAAGTAATGGATAAAAGGCTGGAGCATTTAGCTTTACTCCAAGTGCTACTAGCAGTAGTTATTGCAAACTCAGAACAACTCATGGGATCTGCATAATTGACAGAAATGTCTATTTTGGATTCAAACTCCGATTTGTGTCTGGATGTGACTAGTTTGCATCCCTGGAAGTGGATGCTTGTCCTCATTTTTCATACTCAGCATTAGTGTTGTCGTCAAGACCGCCCAAACCGAGACCAAGACAAGACCAAGACCGAGGAAGGGCGAGACCGAGTCAAGACCAAGACCAGTTCCCCACATTACATGACACACAATAAAATATGGAACAAGATCATAGGTACTTGTCAAATGTATCTGAAAGATCCGCATTCCTATAAAAACACCCACATAAAAACACTAAGAGCTGATATCAACGTAAGTATTGCGGCGAGAGGGGACAGTCGTCAACAGTGACAACACATTTTTAATTAGGGTTATAGGTTGCATTTGAAGCAAAACGTTTTACATCGTTGATATTCCCAAAGTTATGGTCTTGACTGGTCTTGAAATAAAATCCCGAGTCCTCAATGTCCGAGACCGAGACAAGACCTAGTACAAATGCAGTCAAGTCCGAGAGGAGACCAAGACCATCAAAAAGTGGTCTTAAGACCAATCTCAAGACCAAGACCGCTCTCGAGTACTACAACACTGCTCAGCATTGATTTGTTTAGTTGTTTCTCCTTTTTAGCTTTTGGTTAGCAGTTTTTCTTTGTTTGTGGGGGTACAAAATGGAATTTGAAATAGTTGACTTTACAACAAGTCTCACCTTTGAAAACATGCACGAAAGGCAGATTTGGTTTTGTTTGCATATTTGTTTGAGATCTCTGTCCCATTATACACATACAAGGCAGAGATCAAAATGATCAGACTTTGTGGAAAAGAGGATTGGTTGGTACAACAAGGCCTCAGACCTGAGGAGGGTTTACATTTCAAATTGGAGGTGGCAGCTGCCAGGCGGACATGGAGCAGAGGCTCCCACTGTCCCAGCATAGATCTAAACCTTTCTTGTGCCTGGGGCCCTCGATTAATACCCCACCTATGATTCTACTGTTTATGAACCGTGAAGTCAAACAGGGTTAGTACCTTTGTCCAGCTTGCTGTAGATGTGCTGTGGGAGTTGGGGGCTGGATTCCACATTGGGGGGGTAAACGTAGAGCGCTTGGCTGTGGGCCCCTCCCCCTTCCCTCTCCTCCATGGCCTCTCTGCACACGCTCAGTATGGAGCGGCGGAAGTCCTGAATCTCCGGGTCCTTCATCATTTCAAACTCACAGACCGGCATCCCGATGGCAAATCCTGCAAACAGGGACATTTTAGTGTGACTGTGGTGGTGTTGGGCGGGGGGGGGGGGGATCAGTTTAATGTGTTTTTTGCCCTTTTGTTCTGTAAAGAAACCAGACTACCTCCCTTTTCCATGACTAACCCTGTAACAAAAGCGGTTTATCCCTGTTTGGCCCTGTTTGTTTGTATTTGTATTAGAGCCAGTTAGCCCCCTTTGTCTTAATGTCTTTTTGAAAGAGTTTGGTGAGTGACATTAGCATCGAGGTTTTTGGCCGACAAAACAACGTTTGGTGACACGGTATATATAATGGCAATTTTTCCTTGCTTCATCTTTAGCTTTGTTTCCAATCTCTTTGCCATCATGCACCGGTAGGAGTGAAGTTTTTACAGATCAACATACCGGTTCATTTCTTATCTTGTTTCCAGTTGTTTGCGTGTCTTCTGCTCTGTGGTCTGGTGAGAACAGTTTGTGCTCCCCCTACCTGTGCCTCCCACTTCCTGTCACCTATGCCCTCTATGTACAACCATGTGCATCTAATCACCAACACCCAGTGTCCAAAACGCTAATATAAATACATTCAAACTAAATAAAAATCATGCCAACAATAAACATAATTGGCTCCTACAGTATTGACTGAGGATATCTGAGGAGATGTTTGTTGACAGACCAATGGCTGTCCAGGCGTTTCATGACGGGTGATGACACGTTCGGTGAGGTGATTCTTACCTATCTCACGGTTCAGGATCTTCTCCTCCCGGTTGCCGAGCGGTTCGATGACCTTCAGGATCGGATGAAACAGTCGCAGGTCGCATAGCCGCCTAGTCTCATCGTAAAACTCCTCCCTCTCCGCCTCCTGGGTCACGCCCACAAAGATGTAGCTTGACTCCTCCTGGCCAATCAGAGAGCAGAGATTATTACAAGTGTTCCAACCAGTAATGCTGAGAGGCAGAGTCAAAGGTCAAACAGTGATGCACCTGCAGCAGGTGGTAGAGCGGGTACTTTCTGGCCTCAGTGAAGAGCTGCTGCTTGATGCTGATGAGAGGAGTTTCCCTGAGACACTCCAGACTCACCATCATCCCTGAAACACACGGACGCACCATGAGAGGACAGAACCGAACAGAGGACAACAGAACAGAACAGAACAAAGTTGTACCGTTGGGTAGGCAGCAGTCCACCTGGATGCGGGGGGGCATCAAGTGGAGCCCCCATAGCTCCCCTGATGACGGCCTGGGTACCATGGTAACCACCAATCACAAGCTGCCTCACCTCAGCACTGGGCTACCTGGACAGACAGACAGCAAGGTGAAACCACACAGGTCGTCTTCAGCCCTGATCGGCACTAAAGCTGGTCCTGGTCAAGAGCCTTTCTGGCCTCGATGACCCTTCCTTGAGATAATCAGTCCTATTTGGACCCTTTTCTCCTCCATAGACTGTGAAGAGGAACCATATTAGCACTATTTGACCCTGCAATCAACCCTTTATGAACTGGAGAACTTTGGCCCTCTTTGGTCTCATTCAGACCAGTTGGGCTATCATTGGACCTGCGATGAACCCTGTATGAACTGGAGAACTTTGGCCCTCTTTGGTCTCATTCAGACCAGTTGGGCTATCATTGGACCTGCGATGAACCCTGTATGACCTGGAACACTTTGGCCCTCGTCGGTCTCATTCAGACCAGTTGGGCTATCATTGGACCTGCGATGAACCCTGTATGACCTGGAACACTTTGGCCCTCGTCGGTCTCATTCAGACCAGTTGGGCTATCATTGGACCTGCGATGAACCCTGTATGACCTGGAACACTTTGGCCCTCGTTGGTCTCATTCAGACCAGTTGGGCTATCATTGGACCTGCGATGAACCCTGTATGACCTGGAACACTTTGGCCCTCGTCGGTCTCATTCAGACCAGTTGGGCTATCATTGGACCTGCGATGAACCCTGTATGACCTGGAACACTTTGGCCCTCGTCGGTCTCATTCAGACCAGTTGGGCTATCATTGGACCTGCGATGAACCCTGTATGACCTGGAACACTTTGGCCCTCGTCGGTCTCATTCAGACCAGTTGGGCTATCATTGGACCTGCGATGAACCCTGTATGACCTGGAACACTTTGGCCCTCGTTGGTCTCATTCAGACCAGTTGGGCTATCATTGGACCTGCGATGAACCCTGTATGACCTGGAACACTTTGGCCCTCTTTGGTCTCATTCAGACCAGTTGGGCTATCATTGGACCTGCGATGAACCCTGTATGACCTGGAACACTTTGGCCCTCGTCGGTCTCATTCAGACCAGTTGGGCTATCATTGGACCTGCGATGAACCCTGTATGACCTGGAACACTTTGGCCCTCTTTGGTCTCATTCAGACCAGTTGGGCTATCATTGGACCTGCGATGAACCCTGTATGACCTGGAACACTTTGGCCCTCGTTGGTCTCATTCAGACCAGTTGGGCTATCATTGGACCTGCGATGAACCCTGTATGACCTGGAACACTTTGGCCCTCGTTGGTCTCATTCAGACCAGTTGGGCTATCATTGGACCTGCGATGAACCCTGTATGACCTGGAACACTTTGGCCCTCGTTGGTCTCATTCAGACCTCTTTGAAGTCCTGTTTAATCCTGCTTGGAACCAGTTTAGCTACCTTTGACCCTGTTTGGCACTTGTGTGGGCAACAGCGAGCCCCTGAGTGTCCGACCAAGTGTCCAAGCTCCATGACACTACTTCATATTTGTAGAGACCGGCCAAACAGGAGAAAGTAAGCAAGGTAGTTAGAAAACCTGCTGAGGTCTGAAAACATGAGTCTGTCAAGCATAACATAGTCCCGACCAATCGGAACTCCATTCAGATAACATGCATTTTAAAAGTTGTTTGCTTGTCAGACAGACCTGACAAAGCATCAGTTCAGACTTTTTACAAATCAGCATCCCGATGTATTTCAGCATCATTCTGATTATTGTGATTAAATCACAGCAAAATCAGTTTGTTTTGGGTTCAAACTGCTGGAGTAAACGAGATTATGGTTCTCAGGTTGTGTTTTTAACGAGAGTAGTTCATGAGAGCAGTCTTAGGCCTGCTGGAGTCAGTGCAGCCCAACCTGGCCCTGGATGGCCCTGCCTCAGAACCAGTTCATGGATGTCCAGCCCTGTTTCAGCTGAGCTCGGATTAAGCATCAAGCCCCTCCTGAGCAGAACCCAAAGCAGAGAACGGTGAAAACCAAATCAGAACCACAGACAACAGCGCCCCATGACGTTACAGGTTCCTTGTAGCTCTGCAAGGTCCAGTATTGGTCCCAAGTAGACCACCCGCCTGGAGGTGCCAAATAAGGGCAGCAGTTTAGTTTCTTTTGGCCCCCGACTGATTCACCTTGTTCTGGACCCAGTTCGGGCCTCTTTGTCTCTGGAGCATCTTGTTCTCAGTTTCACCAAACTTAACCCATGTTTCCAAAGGAGAAATTCACATTTTCACAAACTTTGTTTCATCAAAGATTCAGTCATGTGGACATGTGGACTGTTTCTGTCATTCCTAAAACCTGTGAACGAACCATGTGAGAGACATTTTAAAGTCACACATTCACATGTAACAACACGAGTCTCACATTTACCCATTAATGCTGTACGTTGGCTCTTACTGGTGTCTGTTGTCACGTGTAGATCTCTTGCTATATTTATGCTTTACTGATGCCTGAATGTTGTTCCTCAGTGTAAGTCGCGTTGGATAAAAGCGTCTGCCACATGAGTAAATGTAAATGTTTTAAAGTCACACATTCACATGTAACACAAGTTTCACATTTAGCTATAAGAGATGTGATTCTGTCTTATTGAGTTCATCACATGAAGCATGAGTTCTGTCCACAGATGTTTCCACGTTTTATGTTTGATGTACTGAAAGTCACATCTATATGAAATGTTGTTTTTATAAGCAGCACTCAGATAATAAATATATATTGTTCTTTATTATTCATTTCTTTGTGGTATTGTGGAATATTTCTGTCCATCAGGTCCAGTTTTCTATAAATAATCTTCTTTCACGCTCTTGTCTTCATATTGTCTTTGTGTCTTTGTGTTTTTTCAATGAAGCCGTCAAACAAAGAGCAGAAAGTAGGACACACACACACACACACACACACGCACACACACTGCTGCTTTTGTTTGTCCGGGTGTGTGTGTGTGTGTGTGTGTGTGTTTGTTTCCCGTCAGGACACTGATTTCCGTGAAAACATGAAAACAGATTTGAGCTCTCTACAGATTATTTCTGACAGCAGAAGCCCCGCCCCCAGCCCCTGATTGACAGATGGTTTCACTGATGTCACACTCACACGTGCGCAGGCTTTTTCAACATCAGCAGAGACCTCGAGGCCACAGAGAGAGTGAAGCCAGTCTGTGTGAACCAGCGCCCCCTGCAGGCCACAGCACCAACACACAGAAACATCTTTAACACGTCAGTGTTTGGAACTTTTAGGATAAAATCTGTAATATTTAAAGTAGAGGAAATTACAGCTCCTCTTGTTACATTGTTACTTTTTCTTCTTTATTTTGAAAACCTAAGCTCAATAATAATAATCTACATAATAACTTGTCTCTGCTGTGGAGGTTTATTGGAGCCTGTAGCCGACAGCGTTGACTGTGTGCCGCCGCGAGCATTTCAGCACCTTCTCATTCCCACAGCGTCACATTTGGATGCTTTGTCATGTCCTTCAGTGTCCAGTACGCTCATGGCAGCCTTTAGAGACGCTATTCAACACTAAAAGTAAAAAGTAAGTAAAAAAATCAGAGTAAGGAGGCGGTCAGGGTGGATGAGCAGGTCAGAAAGGGGACCTTCGCCCAGGAGACCTTTGATTATTGTTGGTGAAGTTATGTAACTTACGTAATTTAAGTCAAATTGTGACATTTCACAATGTTAACCAGTTTTATTTTGAAAGTCTAACCGGATGTTGCGTATTTATTGTTTCTTACTTGACTGTGGCTTGATCATGACATGCCGTGACATGCGGCTACACGTGGGCTACGGTCTACGGTACGCGGCTGCACGTGGGCTACGGTCTACGGTACGCGGCTACCTGTGGGCTACGGTCTACGGTACGCGGCTGCACGTGGGATACGGTCTACGGTACGCGGCTGCACGTGGGCTACGGTCTACGGTACGCGGCTACACGTGGGCTACGGTCTACGGTACGGGGCTACACGTGGGCTACGGTCTACGGTACGCGGCTGCACGTGGGATACGGTCTACGGTACGCGGCTGCATGTGGGCTACGGTACGGGGCTACACGTGGGCTACGGTCTACGGTACGCAACTGCACATGGGATACGGTCTACGGTACGCGGCTACCTGTGGGCTACGGTCTACGGTACGCGGCTGCACGTGGGATACGGTCTACGGTACGCGGCTACCTGTGGGCTACGGTCTACGGTACGCGGCTACCTGTGGGCTACGGTCTACGGTACGCGGCTGCACGTGGGATACGGTCTACGGTACGCGGCTGCACGTGGGCTACGGTCTACGGTACGCGGCTACACGTGGGCTACGGTCTACGGTACGGGGCTACACGTGGGCTACGGTCTACGGTACGCGGCTGCACGTGGGATACGGTCTACGGTACGCGGCTGCACGTGGGCTACGGTACGGGGCTACACGTGGGCTACGGTCTACGGTACGCAACTGCACGTGGGATACGGTCTACGGTACGCGGCTGCACGTGGGCTACGGTCTACGATACACAACTGCACGTGGGATACGGTCTACGGTACGCGGCTGCACGTGGGCTACGGTCTACGATACGCAACTGCACGTGGGATACGGTCTACGGTACGCGGCTGCACGTGGGCTACGGTCTACGATACGCAACTGCACGTGGGATACGGTCTACGGTACGCGGCTACACGTGGGCTACGGTCTACGATACGCAACTGCACGTGGGATACGGTCTACGGTACGCGGCTGCACGTGGGCTACGGTACGGGGCTACACGTGGGCTACGGTCTACGGTACGCGGCTGCACGTGGGCTACGGTCTACGGTACGGGGCTACACGTGGGCTACGGTCTACGGTACGCGGCTGCACGTGGGATACGGTCTACGGTACGCGGCTGCAAGTGGGCTACGGTACGGGGCTACACGTGGGCTACGGTCTACGGTACGCGGCTGCACGTGGGCTACGGTCTACGGTACGCGGCTGCACGTGGGATACGGTCTACGGTACGCGGCTGCAAGTGGGCTACGGTACGGGGCTACACGTGGGCTACGGTCTACGGTACGCGGCTGCACGTGGGCTACGGTCTACAGTACGCGGCTGCACGTGGGCTACGGTCTACGGTACGCGGCTGCACGTGGGCTACGGTCTACGGTACGCGGCTGCACGTGGGCTACGGTCTACGGTACGCGGCTGCACGTGGGCTACGGTCTACGGTACGCGGCTACACGTGGGCTATGGTCTACGATACGCGGCTACACGTGGGATACGGTCTACGGTACGCGGCTACACGTGGGCTACGGTCTACGATACGCAACTGCACGTGGGATACGGTCTACGGTACGCGGCTGCACGTGGGCTACGGTACGGGGCTACACGTGGGCTACGGTCTACGGTACGCGGCTGCACGTGGGATATGGTCTACGGTACGCGGCTGCACGTGGGCTACGGTCTACGATACGCGGCTGCACGTGGGCTACGGTCTACGATACGCGGCTGCACGTGGGCTACGGTCTACGGTACGCGGCTGCACGTGGGCTACGGTATGGGGCTACACGTGGGCTACGGTACGCAGCTGCACGTGGGCTACGGTCTACGGTACGCGGCTGCACGTGGGCTACGGTACGGGGCTACACGTGGGCTACGGTACGCGGCTGCACGTGGGCTACGGTACGCGGCTGCACGTGGGCTACGGTACGGGGCTACACGTGGGCTACAGTCTACGGTACGCGGCTACACGTGGGCTACAGTCTACGGTACGCGGCTACACGTGGGCTGCGGTCTACGGTACGCGGCTGCACGTGGGCTGCGGTCTACGGTACGCGGCTGCACGTGGGCTGCGGTCTACGGTACGCGGCTACACGTGGGCTACGGTCTACGGTACGCGGCTGCACGTGGGCTACGGTCTACGGTACGCGGCTACACGTGGGCTACGGTCTACGGTACGCGGCTGCACGTGGGCTACGGTCTACGGTACGCGGCTACACGTGGGCTACGGTCTACGATACGCGGCTACACGTGGGCTACGGTCTACGGTACGCGGCTGTAATAATAATAAAATAATAAATGTTTAAATAGTGATGTTTTTATGTGTTTTTATATGTTTTTATACTGATATAATAATAATAAAATAATAAATGTTTAAATAGTGATGTTTTTATGTGTTTTTATATGTTTTATACTGATATAATAATAATAAAATAATAAATGTTTAAATAGTGATGTTTTTATATGTTTTTACATGTTTTATAATGATATAATAATAAAATAATAAATGTTTAAATAGTGATGTTTTTATGTGTCTTTATGTTTTTATACTGATATAATAATAATAAAATAATAAATGTTTAAATAGTGATGTTTTTATGTGTTTTTATATGTTTTTATACTGATATAATAATAAAAAATAAATGTTTAAATAGTGATGTTTTTATGTGTTTTTATATGTTTTTATACTGATATAATAATAAAATAATAAATGTTTAAATAGTGATGTTTTTATGTGTTTTTACATGTTTTTATAATGAAATAATAATAAAATAATAAATGTTTAAATAGTGATGTTTTTATGTGTTTTTACATGTTTTTATAATGATATAATAATAATAAAAAATAAATGTTTAAATAGTGATGTTTTTATGTGTTTTTACATGTTTTTAAATGATATAATAATAAAATAATAATAAAATAATAAATGTTTAAATAGTGATGTTTTTATGTGTTTTTACATGTTTTTATAATGAAATAATAATAAAAATAATAAATGTTTAAATAGTGATGTTTTTATGTGTTTTTACATGTTTTTATAATGATATAATAATAAATAATAATAAAATAATAAATGTTTAAATAGTGATGTTTTTATGTGTTTTTACATGTTTTTATAATGATATAATAATGAATAATAATAATAAAATAATAAATGTTTAAATAGTGATGTTTTTATGTGTTTTTACATGTTTTTATAATGAAAAATAATAATAAAATAATAAATGTTTAAATAGTGATGTTTTTATGTGTTTTTACATGTTTTTATAATGATATATAATAATAATAATAAAATAATAAATGTTTAAATAGTGATGTTTTTATGTGTTTTTACATGTTTTTATAATGAAATAATAATAATAAAATAATAAATGTTTAAATAGTGATGTTTTTATGTGTCTTTACATGTTTTTATAATGATATAATAATAATAAAATAAATGTTTAAATAGTGATGTTTTTATGTGTTTTTACATGTTTTTATAATGATATAATAATAAAATAATAAATGTTTAAATAGTGATGTTTTTATAATGATTTAATAATAATAATAATAAATGTTTAAATAGTGATGTTTTTATAGGTCTTGTGAGACAAAGAAGATTTTCTAGCCATCAGCTGAACAATAAAGTTGTATTGTATTCTGTTGTATTTTGATGGTGGGGGAACCTGGAGACAGAGAGACACCACACAGACCGGGACCTTCTCGCTCTGAGGTCAACACGCCGCCCTGGTGATGTCACATGTTTACATGTTTGTGTCCACAGGAAGCTAAACGATCAGCTGATCAACAGAACAAGATCAAGATTAGGATTTGATCTGGAGGGTGAAGACAACACCTCCTCCTCCTCCTCCTCGTCTCCTTGTATCCTCTCTCCTCGCCCCCCCCTCTCTTCCTCATGACCTCAGACTGTGATATGGTTGCCATGACGACAGCAGTGGGAGCATCAGTGGGATGAAAGAGAGAGAGAGGGTCCTCTTTGTTCTGTCACTCACCTCAGCTCGAGGCTGCCGGTCCAGCGGCGCCCGTCTCCAATCATAGCGTCTCTCTGACCGTCTGTCTGTCTGTCTTCCTGTCTGACCGCCTGTCTTCCTGCCTGTCTTCCTGCCTGTCTTCCTGCCTGTCCTCTTCTGTCTTTGTCTCCTCTTAAGCTTCAGCCAGTGGATCCATCAGTCACCGCCCCGCTGATTCTGATGAACACAAAGACAGAGTCCGTTACTACAGCCGGCTACCGTCCAGACCAGAGACCAGAGACCAGAGTCCAGAGACCCGTCTGTCTAACCGTGTGTCAGTGTGATCCTGTAGCAGCAGGGGGAAGCTGCTGCTCGCCGGCAGCCGCAGAACAATGTGCTGGAGGAGGAAGGGGGGGGGGGGCTCATCCTCTTCCTCTCTTAAAGGGCCAGCAGCCTCACATAGCGCTGCACACTGTGGGCCCTTTCTCCATCTGTACTCACGTGAAACATCTTCTTTCTTGGACTGTCCCAATACACAAGTTTGCATTTTGGCAAGAAGGGTTAAAATTATGTGTTCTTGACCAGAAGACATCTGGCTCCTGCTGTACGGAAACATTCTGTAAAAAACTGGTCTTGTGAACGTAAAAATAAACGTAGTATCCTTATTTTTGCCCAAATAAACCGTGAAAGATTCTGAGCTTCTTTGATTTGGGGGATAAAGCCTGGCTGTTATATTAGAGCTCTGCAGGCGGCCTCTGTGCTGGAAACCCGGTCTCAGTCCCGAGTCGTCATATGGACGCATGGTCAAGACCTTTAGTCGGATCGCTATAGCGCCAGAGTTCGGCGCAGTGGGGGAAGCCCTGTTGCGTCAGGTCCATGATATTTAACAGGAAAGACTGAGTAAGGAGGTGCTTGGGGTGGATGGAGGGCCAGAACCCGGACTTTGAACCAGGAGACCGGGGTTCGTGTCCCGTGTGAAACAAAAAGTCAACGTTAAATGTTTTTATTTAGGCAAGTTACATAAATTGACGTTAGTGACGTTACGTGTTAACTGACGTACGTAGTTATTTTAACGCAAACCAGGATCTTTTCCGAACCTCATCCGAGTACTTTCTGCGCCTAAATCTAACCAAACTGCCACGTGTCACGACTTTAATAATGCTAGGATGATGATGATAATGATGTTCGGAAACGCCAGTGTTTTATTTTGAAAGTCTAGTATTGATAACTTTACCGGAAGGTGTATATTTATCGTTGCTAAGCATTAATAACTTGACGACAATAAATGAGGGGTACCCAGGTTGTTAAAACGGCGACGCCAAAGGGCCTCGACCACGAGTATGTGACGAGTCGGGCGTGAGAACGTATTGGTGTAAACGCTGTAAGTTAAAACCTACGTGGCAATAAACCTGATTCTGAGCTTCTTGTCTGCTGGCTGTTATATTAGAGCTCTGCAGGCGGCCTCTCTGCTGGGAGAAGTACTTTATTCTTCCAAGAACGACTAGCAAGAAGGTTCTCCACAAGAACACAAGAGTGCACTTTGCATTCTTGGTTTTAAGAAACACCGTGTCCAGTGGACACACCAGCCACGGGGAAGACTTCTGATCCGGCCGTTGACCACGAGCGTCAGAAGAGTCTCACCTGTGCTAAGGAGAAACAGAACTGGATCGGTGCTCAGTGGTCCAAAGTCCTCTTTTCAGATGAAATCCAGGTCCCGGAGTCTGGAGGATGAGCGAGGACCAGTGGGGTGTCATGTCCTCTGCAGATGTTGGTCCACCGGGTTTCCTCAAGTCCAGAGTCAAAGCAGCGTCTACCAGGAGACTTTGGAGACTTCACGCTTCATCTGCTGACCAGCTTTACGGAGACACTGGTTTCCTTTTCCAGCAGGACTTGGTCCAGAAGGCCAAAATCCACAAGGAGCTGGTTTGCTGACCATGGTGCTGCTGTGCTTGACTGGCCAGCTAGCTCACATAGAGAATCTGAGGGGTTCAGGTCAAGAGGAAAGTGAAAATTACAAAGTATTAAAAACGCTGACTCGCCATTTAACAAGGTGTTCATTTTATTTCATATTTTTTCAATGTGAAAATCCTGTTTGTGTGGTATGGGATAAATATCCTGTCATGTCTCAACACTGAAAATAAACTCAGAATCTTACAAAAAACTGTTTGGCAAGATGGAAAATTAAGATTTGCAAAGTTTTAAAAACATAAAATCTCTCTCAAACTCTCTTATGTTGTTTTTGAGTTTCTGCCAAATTCAAGACTTGGGCCAGAAAGCTTGAACTTTTATTATCAACAGAAATAGACACCAGTTAGAGTCAGAGATCGAGGTTCTGTTACCAGAACAGAGACCCGAGTCGACATGAAGCCATGTAACTGACTTTCACCTCCTTTTATAGCTCTGGTTCTAAACGTTATATAATCTCCTGGCTCTCTTTCCTGCTGATCTGGATCTGGGAAAGTCCCAAATATTTGGATGTCTCTCTTTTCTCATTGCTTTCCAACCTTTCGGTGGGTTTTTATTTATCTCTGATTGTCCCCTCTCTGTTGTGGTGGCAGCCCGGCTGACGGTGAGTGTCCTGGTTATGTTTCTGCTTTCTGCTTGGTTTTCTGTGTCCTGCCTGCCTCCCTGTGTTTTCTCCCCTGTGTTTTCTCCCCTGTGTTTTCTCCCTGTGTTTTCTCCCTGTATTTTCTCCCCTGTGTTTTCTCCCCTGTGTTTTCTCCCCTGTGTTTTCTCC